TCTGGTGCAGCTTAGTGCCAGAGAGGGGATTTTCTGTCCTTCAAGGGTGGCCGGGAATGCGGGGGCTCCTTGCCGCCTTTCACAACCGCAGTCCTGACATGGCGAGTGCCGGCGTCAAGCAGGCAACACCTTGTCCGGAATTTAGCCCAGGCAGTTGTCGGCTCAGCGTCATTCCAAAGTACACCTTGACCCAAGTCAGTTACACAAGTCAGACTCTGGCCTGCTTTGAAACTGGCTACCAGATTTAGACGGCAGCAAATGGGGGACGTGTCCCGAGTGCTCGGCGTAATGTATTTGGCGTGAACAACTTTACGCAGTCTTGCTTATCCTTGAGCTGATTGCACAGAGATGTGGCCAGAGTTTTTCAGAGAGGCTCCCAGTTGTCCCAGCATGTGTCATGGCAGGGGGATGGTTGGCCTTGGGCCCCCAAGTTTAGCCCCCAGCCTGAGGGGGAAGTTGGGCACCGCCCCCATTCAGGGCGTTTCCTACTAGGGACTGCAGTCCCCCAGCCTGCACTGCTGCAAAGGGGGCATTGGGCCAGAAGGGTGTATAAAAGGTAGGCAGCCATCTAGGACTTCTGTGCCTGCTCAGGCAGCACATCTAATAAATTGGATTCGATACAGAGAAGATTAGCATGGCCCCTGCGAAAGGATGACACGCAAATTCGTGAAGCGTATCCACATTTTGATGTGCTCGTTTTGCCCGCGACCTCTTCTGGTGCAGCTTAGTGCCAGAGAGGGGATTTTCTGTCCTTCAAGGGTGGCCGGGAATGCGGGGGCTCCTTGCCGCCTTTCACAACCGCAGTCCTGACATGGCGAGTGCCGGCGTCAAGCAGGCAACACCTTGTCCGGAATTTAGCCCAGGCAGTTGTCGGCTCAGCGTCATTCCAAAGTACACCTTGACCCAAGTCAGTTACACAAGTCAGACTCTGGCCTGCTTTGAAACTGGCTACCAGATTTAGACGGCAGCAAATGGGGGACGTGTCCCGAGTGCTCGGCGTAATGTATTTGGCGTGAACAACTTTACGCAGTCTTGCTTATCCTTGAGCTGATTGCACAGAGATGTGGCCAGAGTTTTTCAGAGAGGCTCCCAGTTGTCCCAGCATGTGTCATGGCAGGGGGATGGTTGGCCTTGGGCCCCCAAGTTTAGCCCCCAGCCTGAGGGGGAAGTTGGGCACCGCCCCCATTCAGGGCGTTTCCTACTAGGGACTGCAGTCCCCCAGCCTGCACTGCTGCAAAGGGGGCATTGGGCCAGAAGGGTGTATAAAAGGTAGGCAGCCATCTAGGACTTCTGTGCCTGCTCAGGCAGCACATCTAATAAATTGGATTCGATACAGAGAAGATTAGCATGGCCCCTGCGAAAGGATGACACGCAAATTCGTGAAGCGTATCCACATTTTGATGTGCTCGTTTTGCCCGCGACCTCTTCTGGTGCAGCTTAGTGCCAGAGAGGGGATTTTCTGTCCTTCAAGGGTGGCCGGGAATGCGGGGGCTCCTTGCCGCCTTTCACAACCGCAGTCCTGACATGGCGAGTGCCGGCGTCAAGCAGGCAACACCTTGTCCGGAATTTAGCCCAGGCAGTTGTCGGCTCAGCGTCATTCCAAAGTACACCTTGACCCAAGTCAGTTACACAAGTCAGACTCTGGCCTGCTTTGAAACTGGCTACCAGATTTAGACGGCAGCAAATGGGGGACGTGTCCCGAGTGCTCGGCGTAATGTATTTGGCGTGAACAACTTTACGCAGTCTTGCTTATCCTTGAGCTGATTGCACAGAGATGTGGCCAGAGTTTTTCAGAGAGGCTCCCAGTTGTCCCAGCATGTGTCATGGCAGGGGGATGGTTGGCCTTGGGCCCCCAAGTTTAGCCCCCAGCCTGAGGGGGAAGTTGGGCACCGCCCCCATTCAGGGCGTTTCCTACTAGGGACTGCAGTCCCCCAGCCTGCACTGCTGCAAAGGGGGCATTGGGCCAGAAGGGTGTATAAAAGGTAGGCAGCCATCTAGGACTTCTGTGCCTGCTCAGGCAGCACATCTAATAAATTGGATTCGATACAGAGAAGATTAGCATGGCCCCTGCGAAAGGATGACACGCAAATTCGTGAAGCGTATCCACATTTTGATGTGCTCGTTTTGCCCGCGACCTCTTCTGGTGCAGCTTAGTGCCAGAGAGGGGATTTTCTGTCCTTCAAGGGTGGCCGGGAATGCGGGGGCTCCTTGCCGCCTTTCACAACCGCAGTCCTGACATGGCGAGTGCCGGCGTCAAGCAGGCAACACCTTGTCCGGAATTTAGCCCAGGCAGTTGTCGGCTCAGCGTCATTCCAAAGTACACCTTGACCCAAGTCAGTTACACAAGTCAGACTCTGGCCTGCTTTGAAACTGGCTACCAGATTTAGACGGCAGCAAATGGGGGACGTGTCCCGAGTGCTCGGCGTAATGTATTTGGCGTGAACAACTTTACGCAGTCTTGCTTATCCTTGAGCTGATTGCACAGAGATGTGGCCAGAGTTTTTCAGAGAGGCTCCCAGTTGTCCCAGCATGTGTCATGGCAGGGGGATGGTTGGCCTTGGGCCCCCAAGTTTAGCCCCCAGCCTGAGGGGGAAGTTGGGCACCGCCCCCATTCAGGGCGTTTCCTACTAGGGACTGCAGTCCCCCAGCCTGCACTGCTGCAAAGGGGGCATTGGGCCAGAAGGGTGTATAAAAGGTAGGCAGCCATCTAGGACTTCTGTGCCTGCTCAGGCAGCACATCTAATAAATTGGATTCGATACAGAGAAGATTAGCATGGCCCCTGCGAAAGGATGACACGCAAATTCGTGAAGCGTATCCACATTTTGATGTGCTCGTTTTGCCCGCGACCTCTTCTGGTGCAGCTTAGTGCCAGAGAGGGGATTTTCTGTCCTTCAAGGGTGGCCGGGAATGCGGGGGCTCCTTGCCGCCTTTCACAACCGCAGTCCTGACATGGCGAGTGCCGGCGTCAAGCAGGCAACACCTTGTCCGGAATTTAGCCCAGGCAGTTGTCGGCTCAGCGTCATTCCAAAGTACACCTTGACCCAAGTCAGTTACACAAGTCAGACTCTGGCCTGCTTTGAAACTGGCTACCAGATTTAGACGGCAGCAAATGGGGGACGTGTCCCGAGTGCTCGGCGTAATGTATTTGGCGTGAACAACTTTACGCAGTCTTGCTTATCCTTGAGCTGATTGCACAGAGATGTGGCCAGAGTTTTTCAGAGAGGCTCCCAGTTGTCCCAGCATGTGTCATGGCAGGGGGATGGTTGGCCTTGGGCCCCCAAGTTTAGCCCCCAGCCTGAGGGGGAAGTTGGGCACCGCCCCCATTCAGGGCGTTTCCTACTAGGGACTGCAGTCCCCCAGCCTGCACTGCTGCAAAGGGGGCATTGGGCCAGAAGGGTGTATAAAAGGTAGGCAGCCATCTAGGACTTCTGTGCCTGCTCAGGCAGCACATCTAATAAATTGGATTCGATACAGAGAAGATTAGCATGGCCCCTGCGAAAGGATGACACGCAAATTCGTGAAGCGTATCCACATTTTGATGTGCTCGTTTTGCCCGCGACCTCTTCTGGTGCAGCTTAGTGCCAGAGAGGGGATTTTCTGTCCTTCAAGGGTGGCCGGGAATGCGGGGGCTCCTTGCCGCCTTTCACAACCGCAGTCCTGACATGGCGAGTGCCGGCGTCAAGCAGGCAACACCTTGTCCGGAATTTAGCCCAGGCAGTTGTCGGCTCAGCGTCATTCCAAAGTACACCTTGACCCAAGTCAGTTACACAAGTCAGACTCTGGCCTGCTTTGAAACTGGCTACCAGATTTAGACGGCAGCAAATGGGGGACGTGTCCCGAGTGCTCGGCGTAATGTATTTGGCGTGAACAACTTTACGCAGTCTTGCTTATCCTTGAGCTGATTGCACAGAGATGTGGCCAGAGTTTTTCAGAGAGGCTCCCAGTTGTCCCAGCATGTGTCATGGCAGGGGGATGGTTGGCCTTGGGCCCCCAAGTTTAGCCCCCAGCCTGAGGGGGAAGTTGGGCACCGCCCCCATTCAGGGCGTTTCCTACTAGGGACTGCAGTCCCCCAGCCTGCACTGCTGCAAAGGGGGCATTGGGCCAGAAGGGTGTATAAAAGGTAGGCAGCCATCTAGGACTTCTGTGCCTGCTCAGGCAGCACATCTAATAAATTGGATTCGATACAGAGAAGATTAGCATGGCCCCTGCGAAAGGATGACACGCAAATTCGTGAAGCGTATCCACATTTTGATGTGCTCGTTTTGCCCGCGACCTCTTCTGGTGCAGCTTAGTGCCAGAGAGGGGATTTTCTGTCCTTCAAGGGTGGCCGGGAATGCGGGGGCTCCTTGCCGCCTTTCACAACCGCAGTCCTGACATGGCGAGTGCCGGCGTCAAGCAGGCAACACCTTGTCCGGAATTTAGCCCAGGCAGTTGTCGGCTCAGCGTCATTCCAAAGTACACCTTGACCCAAGTCAGTTACACAAGTCAGACTCTGGCCTGCTTTGAAACTGGCTACCAGATTTAGACGGCAGCAAATGGGGGACGTGTCCCGAGTGCTCGGCGTAATGTATTTGGCGTGAACAACTTTACGCAGTCTTGCTTATCCTTGAGCTGATTGCACAGAGATGTGGCCAGAGTTTTTCAGAGAGGCTCCCAGTTGTCCCAGCATGTGTCATGGCAGGGGGATGGTTGGCCTTGGGCCCCCAAGTTTAGCCCCCAGCCTGAGGGGGAAGTTGGGCACCGCCCCCATTCAGGGCGTTTCCTACTAGGGACTGCAGTCCCCCAGCCTGCACTGCTGCAAAGGGGGCATTGGGCCAGAAGGTGTATAAAAGGTAGGCAGCCATCTAGGACTTCTGTGCCTGCTCAGGCAGCACATCTAATAAATTGGATTCGATACAGAGAAGATTAGCATGGCCCCTGCGAAAGGATGACACGCAAATTCGTGAAGCGTATCCACATTTTGATGTGCTCGTTTTGCCCGCGACCTCTTCTGGTGCAGCTTAGTGCCAGAGAGGGGATTTTCTGTCCTTCAAGGGTGGCCGGAATGCGGGGGCTCCTTGCCGCCTTTCACAACCGCAGTCCTGACATGGCGAGTGCCGGCGTCAAGCAGGCAACACCTTGTCCGGAATTTAGCCCAGGCAGTTGTCGGCTCAGCGTCATTCCAAAGTACACCTTGACCCAAGTCAGTTACACAAGTCAGACTCTGGCCTGCTTTGAAACTGGCTACCAGATTTAGACGGCAGCAAATGGGGACGTGTCCCGAGTGCTCGGCGTAATGTATTTGGCGTGAACAACTTTACGCAGTCTTGCTTATCCTTGAGCTGATTGCACAGAGATGTGGCCAGAGTTTTTCAGAGAGGCTCCCAGTTGTCCCAGCATGTGTCATGGCAGGGGGATGGTTGGCCTTGGGCCCCCAAGTTTAGCCCCAGCCTGAGGGGAAGTTGGGCACCGCCCCCATTCAGGGCGTTTCCTACTAGGGACTGCAGTCCCCCAGCCTGCACTGCTGCAAAGGGGGCATTGGGCCAGAAGGTGTATAAAAGGTAGGCAGCCATCTAGGACTTCTGTGCCTGCTCAGGCAGCACATCTAATAATTGGATTCGATACAGAGATTAGCATGGCCCCTGCGAAAGGATGACACGCAAATTCGTGAAGCGTATCCACATTTTGATGTGCTCGTTTTGCCCGCGACCTCTTCTGGTGCAGCTTAGTGCCAGAGAGGGGATTTTCTGTCCTTCAAGGGTGGCCGGGAATGCGGGGCTCCTTGCCGCCTTTCACAACCGCAGTCCTGACATGGCGAGTGCCGGCGTCAAGCAGGCAACACCTTGTCCGGAATTTAGCCCAGGCAGTTGTCGGCTCAGCGTCATTCCAAAGTACACCTTGACCCAAGTCAGTTACACAAGTCAGACTCTGGCCTGCTTTGAAACTGGCTACCAGATTTAGACGGCAGCAAATGGGGGACGTGTCCCGAGTGCTCGGCGTAATGTATTTGGCGTGAACAACTTTACGCAGTCTTGCTTATCCTTGAGCTGATTGCACAGAGATGTGGCCAGAGTTTTTCAGAGAGGCTCCCAGTTGTCCCAGCATGTGTCATGGCAGGGGGATGGTTGGCCTTGGGCCCCCAAGTTTAGCCCCCAGCCTGAGGGGAGTTGGGCACCGCCCCCATTCAGGGCGTTTCCTACTAGGGACTGCAGTCCCCCAGCCTGCACTGCTGCAAAGGGGGCATTGGGCCAGAAGGGTGTATAAAAGGTAGGCAGCCATCTAGGACTTCTGTGCCTGCTCAGGCAGTGAATGCGGGGGCTCCTTGCCGCCTTTCACAACTGCAGTCCTGACATGGTGAGTGAATGGTCCTTTCACCTGGTTGAGTTTTAGAGGTAATGTGAACGGAGACCTATTATACTACTTTTCCTGTCCTATATTGTAGTTCTGTCACTCCTATTTTGCAGCTTTGCGTATTCAAAGTTTCTTTGAAAATTCTTTCTTTCTGACTCTTCATGTAGGCCTCTATCTGAACATTGTAGATTTTCCTTTCCTTTTAAGGCTCCCCCTCTCCACGCCCACTTTCTTATGATTGGCCAGACCTGACAAATGTTACCAGGCTGACTCTGTCTGGCTCCGTATGTTGTTGACGGAGCCATTGGTTAAGTAAAATTAGGAAGTTCAAACCATCGTGCTCCAGTTCACAGGAGGCATAGTCTGAATATGACCGCTAACTGAGTAACTAACAGCAGCTAGTAGCAGTTATCTGTTACTTTAGCAACATAAAATCTGTTCATCAGCAAATCCGTAAATCACAATAGTTGAGGCAGGGCAGCCTATTGAATAGACCCCAGTATTGTTCTCCATTCTCCTTTTCATTGGACGCTAATAGGACAATTGTCATCAAATTGTTTTTCCAGGAAATGACAAACTCTAAAATTACCATCAAGAATACCTACAAAACAAAGTTTTTTTTTACCATTGTTGGGCTAGATGCTGGTGTATTGGTGACATACAGTGCAAGGCATATGCAATTAAAACCAACATCTATTTTGATTTCATGGTGAATACATTATAAATCTTTTAGTAACTAATGTTCACCTGGTGTAACTGTAGTATTCTTCTAGTGCAATGTGACTTTTCTCAACCCAAAGCTTCCCACTGTCACTTGATTACTATCCATCCATTCATCTTTCTTCTCCAGGGTATCCTGCGGACACCAGACACCATCCGTCGGTTCCAAAGTGTTCCAGCCCAACCAGGCCAGACATCTCCCTTGCTCCAATACTTTGGCATCTTGCTGGACCAAGGTCAACTTAATAAATTTGAGTCTCTGGAGCTGTGCAGGCCTGTCCTCCAGCAGGGCCGCAAGCAGCTACTAGAGAAATGGTTGAAAGAGGACAAGGTGTGCGTCCAGTAGTTGGTTTATAGCAGAAATCTTTATTATCTTCAGAGGAAATATTTTCACCAATCATGTCAAAAACTCTATTCAGAAAATCATCTACTCTTTGGAAGATAGTTACAATAAAGAGAGTGTTGGACATAGCTAGTTAGTTGACTCCTTCACTTCTACAAATAAAACTATACTGCCGGTTTCAGTTATGTGTCCATGAGCATATACTCATATATTTTTGGAAGAACTGACTAGTAAATCAATTTGAAAGCCAGTATGGTGCTTGCATCCAATATGATTCATTTCAGTCTCCAAATTCCTGTTCTTTCAAACACATCATCAGTGCTGAGGCTTGAGGTCATTATGTCATGATGTTTGCTTGATTTACTTCTTCTGGTTCGTTAATTGCTTTTTCCTTTACTTGTATTTCTTCTGAACTTTAGATTGTGTGTGTGTTTTTACAGCTGGAGTGTTCTGAGGAGCTTGGAGACTTGGTGAAGTCTGTTGATCCTACTCTTGCCCTCAGTGTCTACCTTAGAGCCAACGTCCCCAATAAGGTCATTCAGTGCTTTGCAGAGACTGGACAGTTCCAGAAGATTGTCCTCTATGCCAAGAAGGTTTGTAACAATTCCTGACTTTGTTATTCCAAGTGTATCTCATGTACTAAAAGACCATTGTGGTACAGAGAAAGGAGAGAATCAGAATCAGAGGGAGCTTTATTGCAAAGTAGTTTTTTTTCGTTATATGAGGAATTTGCTTTGGTGAAAAGGTGCTACACAAACATACAGCTGACATAAATAAATGTAGAAATATATAAATATGGAATGAATAAATGCAAGTTATATAACAATAATAAAATAATAGAGAAAAATAACAACTTTTTGCAGAGAGAGAATGTAATCCTCCAAAAGACAATATCTGTTGTCTTGTGTTTGTGTTTTATATGGTTCCATCATAGCTATGGCACAACTCAGATGTAGGGCTATTATGCTTAAAGATTTGTTGACCCTGTAGGTGGGCTACACCCCGGACTGGATCTTCTTGCTAAGGAATGTAATGCGGATCAGTCCAGAGCAGGGCCTTCAGTTCTCCCAGATGCTGGTTCAGGATGAAGAGCCACTGGCTGACATTACTCAGGTAAAAAACCCACATCTTTACCATGTGTTTATACCATGTTGTCAAAAATAACAAAAAGGTTTATTGCAGGTTACATTAGTAGCTTTTAACAGGTCTACTTTTTCACTATTTGTTTCACTTGCACTACTTAGGTCAGCGGTGGCTTAATTATAATTATGCAATGGCTACTGCTCTTCACCCAGTAACCAAAAAATAATTTGTATAATTTGTCATTTGATTAAAAGGACAACCAAACATGCTGTTTTTTGAGAGTAGTTTGACATCTATGATGATATCTTTCTTTTGTGTCTCCAGATTGTTGATGTGTTCATGGAGTACAACCTGATCCAGCAGTGCACGTCCTTCCTACTAGATGCCCTGAAGAACAACAGACCCATGGAAGGACCATTGCAGACACGCCTGCTGGAAATGAATTTGGTCCACGCACCACAGGTACAGTGGGGAGAACAAGTATTTGATACTCTGCTGATTCTGCAGGTTTTCCTACTTAAAAAGCATGTAGAGGTCTGTTTTTTTTTATCATAGGTACACTTCAACTGTGAGAGACAGAATCTAAAACAAAAATCCAGAAAATCACATTGTATGATTTTTAAATAATTAATTTACATTTATTGCATGACATAAGTATTTGATCGCCTACCAACCAGTAAGAATTCCAGCTCTCACAGACCTGTTAGTTCTTCTTTAAGAAGCCCTTCTGTTCTCCACTCACTATGTGGCATTTCACTATGTTTCCTTTTGCTAATAATCTAATTTCCCATTGCCCCTGTTGCAAACTTTCGTTTTACGTTAACAAAGCTTCAAACTATAGTGAAATGTCTTTGTCCCTGTGTCACATCTTGCAGGTTGCAGATGCCATCCTAGGCAATCAGATGTTCACCCACTATGATCGTGCTCATGTAGCACAGCTTTGTGAGAAGGCTGGTCTCCTGCAGAGGGCACTGGAGCATTATACTGACCTGTATGACATCAAGCGCGCTGTGGTGCACACACATCTTCTCAACCCAGAGGTACAATACAGACCAAGGAACACAAGAAAATACCAACCCTAACAAAAACTGATACAATGTGACTTTGTGTGTGATGTTTTGCTGATTGTGTTCTCTTTGTCTTTGCAGTGGTTGGTGAATTTCTTTGGCTCCTTGTCAGTGGAGGACTCTCTAGAGTGTCTGAGGGCCATGCTTTCTGCAAACATCCGCCAGAACCTGCAGATCTGTGTCCAGGTCGCCTCCAAGTACCATGAGCAGCTCAGTACTCAGTCTCTCACTGAACTTTTTGAGTCGTTCAAGAGCTTCGAGGGTAAGCTGGGAGTAGACTGTGGCCAAGCAATCTTGTCTTTCCTGTTCATATTGAGAAAACAGCAAGTTAGTTGCAGTTAGTTCACCTGTTGATTTTGTCATTTTTTGTCGTTCAGGTTTGTTCTACTTCTTGGGTTCCATTGTGAACTTCAGCCAGGATCCAGAGGTCCACTTCAAATATATCCAGGCTGCCTGTAAGACAGGCCAGATCAAAGAGGTTGAGAGAATCTGCCGAGAGAGTAACTGCTATGACCCTGAACGTGTGAAGAACTTCCTCAAGGTCAGAAATGGACCTGTGCAGAATAAACATTTAAATATAAAATTATATTGCACATTAATCTAAACATTTCTGCTACTAAGATATCCAGATTATTATTTTATATTTATATTTATATTTTTATATTTATTAGCCAATATCATTTTTTATATTTTTCTCTACAGGAAGCCAAGCTGACTGACCAGCTGCCTTTGATCATTGTGTGTGACCGCTTTGATTTTGTGCATGATCTGGTCCTGTACCTGTACCGCAACAGCCTGCAGAAATACATTGAGATCTATGTGCAGAAGGTACATTTCTAATTTATAGCCTGATGGAAACAGTTTTCAAAAAAAGATCCAGGACAGTAAATAAAGTAACATTTAACTCAACCTACATCATAGGGTTTTGTTTGTCTGTCTGTGAAAACTGGCTGAAAACTCTATCTTGTATGTTGTTTCCTCTCTCCCCATCCCCATGTGGCGCATATGTGATCATATCATATGATCGTTTATTACAGGTGAACCCAAGCCGTCTGCCAGTAGTCATTGGAGGATTACTGGATGTGGATTGTGCCGAGGATGTGATTAAGAACCTGATAATGGTGGTTAGAGGACAGTTCTCCACAGATGAACTGGTGGCTGAAGTGGAGAAAAGAAATCGGTAAGAAGAGAGGAACTCTTTGAACTGCATAGCAATAGTGGAATCACCCCTTCACAACCTAGTCTTATAGAGTCTGGAGAAAGCAGTTGGTTTTCTCTTCAAACCTTGTGGGTGTGCTGTGAAATCCTTACTATGTGTCTTTTCTCAAGACTGAAGCTGCTGCTGCCTTGGTTGGAGGCTCGTATTCATGAAGGTTGCGAGGAGCCTGCTACCCACAACGCCCTGGCCAAAATCTACATTGACAGCAATAACAACCCTGAGCGCTTCCTAAGGGAGAACCCCTACTACGACAGCCGTGTGGTGGGCAAGTATTGTGAGAAAAGAGACCCCCACCTGGCCTGTGTGGCCTATGAAAGAGGACAGTGTGACCAGGAACTGATTCATGTGAGTTTAAACATACCATCACTGAAGGCAAAAAATCATGACTGAATAGTCATAACTGAGTTATGATCATTATATTACAAATAACTAAGTACTAAATAAGTAATATTTTCTGTAACATTATACAATAGGTTATTTTGCCGAGTGGCATTATTGTTTAAAGAGGCAAATGGAGTACTGTATTCGCTGTGTGAGGCTGTGTTTGGCCCTGTTCAGGCTCTGCGGTAGCCACTCTTTATCACAAATGCAATAAATTAAATGCTGTGTTACTTTTTTCCTGTTTTAGTTGTTGTAATGTGCATATACTTTTATGACATTTCTGAACTGCTGTTGCCACCAATGTTGATTGTTTTGGTATATTATGTCTTAGGTGTGCAATGAGAACTCACTGTTCAAGAGTCTGTCCCGCTACCTTGTACGTCGCAAGAACCCCGAGCTGTGGGCGAGCGTGCTGCTGGAGACCAACAATTACAGAAGACCACTCATTGACCAGGTTTGACCCCTTGGTGCCTGATATTAAATTATGCCACATGAACTTATTTGGCGTTACAGATTTGGCTTTCATATCATTCCTGTAACACAAAGTTAGCATTCATATTGGATCCATTTAAAATCTTTTTTTTATCTACCTGTTTTGTTTAATATATATTTACTGGTGGTATTATGTTTTTTGGCTTTTTCCCTCTCCTTTATTGAATTATATATCTTTTTTGTGCATGTAACAGGTTTGCAAAGTGAAAAAGCCCAAAGTCCAGCCCAAAGGGAGTTCCCATCTCCCTCAGAAAGCTCTGCTCTGAACTGCCTGAAAACAGCTTGTTTGTAGTCCACCCCTTCACTTCCTTTACTTGTGACGTCACAATGAAAACGCGTCATAAAGCTTGCCAAGCGGCTAGTGGGGGTCAGGCACGCCCTCAAACCAAGCTAGTCTGAGTGGAGGCCCTTTGGCTCGACTCGCCTTTGTTTGGTTTTCCATTGTAGAAATGTTGTACCTGTACCTGCTTCCAGGTACTTTTTTTCGTATCACCTCACCTCCATCGAGGTTCCAAGCGAGCTGAGGGATACTAAAATGTAACGTGAAAACACGACAGACTGCTGATTGGTCAGAGAGAATATTCACTATTCACTACATCATCATTGCGTGCACCAGACAGAGGCCAGCACCAGAAAGTTTTATATTTTACAGTTTACGTACGAAATTTCATCACTAAATCCACTTCTGAGAAGTTTTGAGTTGAGAAATCAGCTGTGTAGATATTGACAGTTTTACGAGAAGTGATGGCGGAACAAAAATGTGCTTGAATATTTTCGGAGTTGAGGAGCTCCGCAAGTGGCTGCAGGGGAAGCCTGTGCCAAGCCATGGGAGAAGCATGTGAGGCCGGCCAGCCGCCTGCTCACAGAGCCCTCTACTCCCGCCATCACACAGACCACTGCAGCAACAACGGCAGAGTAAAACACAACTGGAAGGTTTTCATACCCCTTATCTGTCTTTACATTCTGAGTAATGTTGAAATGTTTTAACTTAAAGAGAAAGCTGTGTGGGTCACTGGTGTGTGTGTCGCATTGAACATTACGTCGCGGCAGTTGTGTGTGGCGTCGCTATGACGAGAAGTTACTACTATCTCTGGGTACTATCTGCAATGGAAAACGGAGCAGGGCCGAGTAGAGTCGAGTCTATCGATTTGCACTATGGTAGCATTTTTCGGCAAGGCAGCATAGATCATCAAACACCGGCAACAGTTCAACGTTTTGTCCTGATGGTAAGATGTGGAACAATGATGTTGTGGACTTGTGAGTAACTTATACCATCTGTTACGGTCGCAGTCTGAAGCGGCTTTGATTTGGATCACACTAACTTGTTTCTTACGACCCGCCCTTCTCTGCTTCTGATGCTTCCTTACCTGGGAACTGCGCATGTGCAACTCCCAACAAAGATTTTGTACAAGAAAGATGCATCACTCTGTAGCTCAAGAGCGGAGCGTACAACACATAGGGTGAAAAGAGGAGCTGCAGCAATGTGCAGTATGAGAAAAATATGGTGTTTTATGAAAATTAAACCATGTAAACCTGTTCTGGTACAACCCCTGATTAAGATTTTGAACCTGAAAATGAGCATAATACCACCTCTTTAAACATCAGCTGTAGTGCATCAAGTCTGTTTGTCCTCCCTGCTGCAGGTTGTCCAGACAGCCTTGTCTGAGACGCAAGATCCAGAGGAGGTATCTGTAACAGTCAAGGCCTTCATGACCGCCGACCTTCCCAATGAGCTCATCGAGCTTTTGGAGAAGATTGTACTGGATAACTCTGTCTTTAGTGAGCACAGGTGAGAGAGGCTTCATGTATATTCCAAATGTTTTTGGCTAGTATAGGCATTTTTGTGATTTTGATTCCAAAGATGCATTAACATTAATGTTTGTCAGGCATAACAATAAACGGTACATCTCCTGAGCATATTTGTGAAATTTTGGACATAAGTCAGTCAGCTGTTCAGAGTTATTGCTCCCAGGACAAGGGGCCCAGTGTGCTGGTAGTCTTCTCCATCCCTGTCTTGATAGGTAACAGAAAAAGCATGGTGAATGTGTTAAGAAACAGGAAGCACTCAACATATCCTGCAAATTTAGTATTAATTCCTCGTCAGCCACAGCCTGTCGAAAAAAGTGGGCCAGATAATGTTTTTAACACACTAAAATTAGCTTTGTTAAACGTTAGGTCTTTGGCAGGAAAAACATTTTTAATCACTGATTTTATAATCACTCACAATCTTAATTTCATGTTTTTAACTGAAACTTGGTTGGACCAAGATAACAGTGCAGCTGTCTATAACGAGTCTACCCCTCCCAACTTCAGTTTTATGAGAAAGGTGGAGTTGCTATTTTGTTTAATGACTCCCTCCAATGCAAAAAGATATCTTATGGGAATTTTGTTTCTTTTGAATATGTGGCTATTCAGCTGAATTCCTCTTCTCGAGCTATTTTTCTAAATATCTACAGGCCCCCTAAATACTGTGCAAACTTTTTTGATTGCTTTGGTGAACTGCTGTCTATAATCTGTATTGACTTTGACTGTGTGGTTATTGTTGGTGATTTTAACATCCATGTTGACAACCCCCAGGACAAAGGGACTAAAGAACTGTGTTGTGTTCTTGATAATTATGGACTGACCCAACATGTGACGGAGCCCACACACAATAAGGGGCACACTTTGTACTTAGTCATCTCCAAGGGTCTGGACATTTCCAAGATTGTGGTGACTGATGTTGCTCTCTCTGATCATTCCTGTGTTTTCTTTGAGAGTGCTATCTGCGTGCACACAAATGTACAAACAGAGGTAATCACAAAACAGCATATCACTGAAAACACCAGTGAAAAATTTATTGAGGCTTTCTCCTCGACACCTGCCCTCTCATGGGTCTGAATGAGCTTGTAGATAATTTCAGTTCTAAAATTACAAATGTTATTGATGCCATTGCACCAGCCAAGGTGAAGGTGGTCTCTGGTAAGAGAAGATCTCCATGGAGGAATGCCACACTGGTTAGAACTCAAAAGAGAGTGTCGAAAAGCTGAATGCAGGTGGCGGAAAACAAATCTCCAGGTTCATTACGACATCTATAAAGAGAGACTTCGCATTTATAATTTAGAACTGAGAAATGCAAAGCTGTCCTTCTCTGACATCATCACCAAAAACACTAATAATGCACGTGCCCTGTTTGCTACCGTCGACAGGCTAACCGACCCTCCTGTGTCTGTAGCCTCTGACCTTCTATCCACCAGGGCCTGTGATGAATTTGCCTCCTCATTCACAGACAAAATTCAAACAATTAGACAAGCAATCAGTGCCTCCATATCGGGTACAGGATATGTCTTGTCCCTGTGCCCACTTAAAAACAATCCATATAGCATGAGACAATTTGATTCTATTAACCATAAAACTCTTGAGGACATAATACAACATCTGAAATCCTCTTCATGTTGCCTTGATATTCTGCCAACAGGTTTTTTCAAAAAATGTGTCTAAATGCATGGCCTCAGATCTACTACAAATTGTCAACATGTCTCTCCTATCGGGTTTTTTCACACAGGCCCTGAAAACTGCAGTCATTAAGCCACTCTTAAAAAGGAGCAATCTAGACAGGTCACTAATGAGCAATTATAGGCCCATATCAAATCTCCCATTTTTAAGTAAAATCACTGAAATAGCTGTTTTTCAACAGCTTAGTGCTTTCTTGGCACTAAATAACTGTTTTGATGTCTTCCAGTCAGGTTTTCGACCACACCACAACACTGAGACGGCTCTTGTTAAGGTCTTCAATGACATCCATTTAAACACTGACAGTGGCAGAATGTCACTTTTAGTATTATTGGATCTCAGTGCTGCATTCGACACGGTCAACCACAACATATTACTAGACAGACTTGAAAACTGGGTTGGACTTTCTGGCACAGTACTAAACTGGTTTGATGTAGTCATAGACCTGGATCTGAGGAGCCACATTAAGACAATTACAAAGTCAGCCTACTATCACCTGAAGAATATATCACGGATTAAAGGACTTATGTCTCAGCAAGACCTGGAAAAACGTATCCATGCATTTATCTTCAGTCGACTCGACTACTGTAACCGTGTCCTTACAGGGCTCCCTAAGAAATCCAACAGACAGCTGCAGCTGATTCAGAACGCAGCTGCTCGAATCCTCACTAAGACCAAAAAGGTGGATCACATCACTCCAGTTCTGAGATCTTTACATTGGCTTCCTGTATGTCAAATAATTGATTTCAAAATCCTGCTGTTAGTTTATAAAGCACTAGGGGGGGGCAGGTCTGCTTTCTGTCCCCAGAGTCAAATCTAAACAAGGAGAAGCAGCGTTCAGTTATTATGCTCCATATATCTGGAACAAACTCCCAGATAACTGCAGGTGTGCTGAAACTGTCAGTTCTTTTAAATTAAGACTGAAGACTTTTCTTTTTACCATTGCTTTTAATTAAATATTCAAGATTTTTCTTTTTACCACTGCCTTTAACTAGTAGATTGATAACTTACACTGCACTGTAACTTCTACTGTCCTGTTTTCTTTTTCTTTTTAGCTTTTCACCATTGCTTTTATTTAAATATTTACACGGTGAAAAATGAGTAGGTAATTGAGTGAAAAGATAATGAGAGTGAGACTGAACAGAGTGAAGGAAGTGGTCTTAAATCTTGCACCTGAGTGATTTGCAGGAACCTCTGTCCACCTGTAAACGCACAAGTGGGTCCAGAGTATAACTGGATCAAAGTGGCCTGCGGACAGACATGTCTCGTTTTCTCTGTAGTGTCGGAGGATTTTTGGAGTTTCAGTGGACCCAAAGATTGCTATGGACCTAAGTACAGACTAGCTAGAGAGAGTAGATTAAGTATACTTCTTTGTTTATTCTCTTTTCAAAATAATTGTAACTCAATTATTTGCTCAACCCCTCAGCCTGTTTTTAATTTCCATTTAACTCTTTTAACCCTGATTGTACACTGCACTGTACCTTTTATTATTTTTTAATGTGTATTTTTTCAGTTTCCCTATGTTGCTTTTAAACTTTATATTTCCCTGCTGCTTTTATGTTTTATGTAAAGCACTTTGAATTACCTTGTTGTTGAAATGTGCTATACAAATAAACTTGCCTGGACTTAATGAACTTTTTTCTTTTTTTTATAGTAACTTCTGGAATTGTGATCATATTCAAAAACACTCAGTTTGAAATGTATTTATATATCTTTTCGAGCCACCTAGAAAATAAGACCTTCACTGAGACGTCCTTTGTTCTTTTTTACAGAAACCTCCAGAATCTGCTCATCCTGACTGCCATTAAAGCAGATAGGACACGCGTTATGGAGTACATCAACCGTCTTGACAACTACGATGCCCCAGACATTGCGAACATCGCCATCAGCAATGAGCTGTTTGAGGAGGCCTTTGCTATTTTTAGAAAATTTGATGTCAATACCTCTGCTGTGCAGGTCAGTGGATTACTGCTTGACTTTAAAATGTTTAAAAAGTAAAAACAGTAAAAAAAAAAAAAAAAAAAAACTTTTATACTGTTTTGAACAGTTCTAAGCTAGTTTACATTATTCAGAAATTAAAATTAAAAAATAAAAATTAATTAACTTAACCTTGGTTATAATGGCCACCAGAATTGTGTTCGATGTAACAAGAATGCTGAATGTTGTCTCATTTTGTCCAGGTTCTAATTGAGCACATCGGTAACCTGGACAGAGCTTATGAGTTTGCTGAGCGCTGCAATGAGCCACCAGTGTGGAGTCAGCTGGCAAAGGCTCAGCTTCAGAAGGGCCTGGTCAAGGAAGCCATTGACTCTTACATCAAGGCTGATGACCCATCTGCTTACATGGAGGTGGGACAAGCTGCAGCCCAAAGTGGTAAGATGAACTTAATTATCTCATTTGGTGCCTAGATCTGAAGAGTATAGGATAAATACTATTCAGTGCTTTTGCATTTATTGTTTTATTTTGTTGAGCACACTTTAATGGTGTTTTGATAAATATTCAGTTGATTGATATGCTTATGAAACTGATCAGTGAGTTGATTGTTGTGTGCAGGAAACTGGGAGGACCTGGTGAAGTTTCTGCAGATGGCCCGTAAGAAGGCCCGCGAGTCGTATGTTGAAACAGAGTTGATCTTTGCCCTGGCCAAGACTAACCGTCTGGCTGAGCTGGAAGAGTTCATCAACGGACCCAATAATGCTCACATTCAGCAAGTAGGTCCTGGGAAGCATACAGACATAAAGCACACAAACTCTTAGAGTTGTTACCACTTAATTCTCTTTCACAGGTTTACATTTTGTACTTTTCTTTTTTGTCCATTTTCCTTCAGGTGGGTGACCGTTGCTATGATGACAAGATGTATGATGCAGCCAAACTGCTTTACAACAACGTGTCCAACTTTGGCCGCCTGGCCTCAACTCTGGTGCACCTGGGAGAGTACCAGGCAGCTGTAGATGGAGCTCGCAAGGCTAACAGCACCCGCACCTGGAAGGAGGTGAGGAATGAGTTTCATTTGTAACTTTTTATTAAGAAATAAAAATCCTTTTGAAGAGTAAAGAATCAGATGTAGCACTACTGGGTTCAAACTAAACTCTTTTCTACTTCTGTTCTTCTCTTTCTGCCACAGAGCTTTCCTACAGTGTCAGTTTAGAAATATACTCTATGCAGTATACTGTCCACTTGCCTATATTAAACACATTGTTGACTGATTTGATTCTCTTCTCTTCTAGGTGTGTTTTGCGTGTGTAGATGGGAAAGAGTTCCGTCTTGCCCAAATGTGTGGCCTGCATATTGTCGTCCATGCCGATGAACTGGAGGAACTCATAAACTACTACCAGGTAACAGGGCTAACCTACAATGAATGCTGAGTAACTACTGAACACATACTATCATGAACCAGACGTATAGTGTGCAGGACAGTAGGGGTTTTCGTTGCCCTTGTTTTGCACTTAAATACCAAATGTCAAAGTTTACAAATGGCATTTTGTTATTTTGCAACTTTATGTCAGTAAATCTAAAGTATCTGCAAAAATAAGTTTTGTTGGCGTTGATATAACAGAACCAGCCATTTCTTGGCTCAATTGAGATACCCAACATCTCAAAGTCTCCAGTGAAATAATCTCTCTCCCTTGAAATTAAGGTAAATTAGGAAGTAAGGAAATTCTTTACACTTCTGTAGTGTGTATTTTGGTTGTATTGCTGGTTTAAATGGTTATGGTTAATATCATTAAGTCTGTCTGCACCCTCCAGGACCGTGGTTACTTTGAGGAGCTCATCACCATGCTGGAGGCCGCCCTCGGGCTGGAGCGTGCTCACATGGGTATGTTCACTGAGCTGGCCATCCTCTACTCCAAATTCAAACCCCAGAAGATGAGGGAGCACCTGGAGCTCTTCTGGTCCCGTGTCAACATCCCAAAGGTAGGCGAGGGGAACAACTGCAACATCTTAAAACAAAGAATGATTTATTACCAGCTTTACAACATGCACATGTAACATCCCTCTTTTGCTTGAGTACCTTTTCGCAGAAGCATGGCTTGTTTGAGAACAGTTGTGTAAGGCAATCTTTAAGATGATTTGAACCCATCCTACTAGCCTCTCTGCATAGGCTGTAAAGAAAAAAAGAAAAAGTTCCTGATCTTTTTACCAATTTAAATATGAGTTTATGAACTTAGCTGTGTGTGTGTGTGTGTGTGTCTGTCAGGTTCTCAGGGCTGCAGAGCAGGCCCACCTCTGGGGAGAGCTGGTGTTCCTCTACGACAAGTACGAGGAATATGACAATGCCATCATCACCATGATGAACCACCCAGCTGATGCCTGGAAGGAGGGACAGTTCAAAGACATTGTCACCAAGGTAAAAACAAACAAACAAAAAAGTATATTTATTCCATACTTAGTTAGTGATGCTAGTTGCCATTCTGGTAATAAATTCTAGTATTAATAACAATCCCAACGCATAGCACTAACCTATTGTTGTTTGTATTATTTGTAGATGTTCAATTGAGTATGTGTGTGTTTTTCACTGTAGGTGGCCAATGTGGAGCTGTACTACAAGGCCATCCACTTTTATCTTGATTTCAAACCATTGTTACTGAACGACCTGCTCATTGTTCTTTCTCCGAGACTGGACCACACACGTGCTGTCAACTTCTTCAGCAAGGTCCTGGGCCAGTATTGCTTTCTGTAAACAATTCTTAAAGGGTTAAAGGTTGTAACTACTTATAAAATATCTATAGTCTGTTGTTGATAGAGAATGATATGTGATGGTGACCTACAAAAAAAGCAGTTAAATAAGAGATTATATGATGGACTGATCTTTTTTTTCTGATTCATTGTTTAGGTGAAACAGCTGCCTCTGGTTAAACCTTACCTAAGGTCTGTACAGAATCACAACAACAAGTCAGTAAATGAGGCGCTGAACAATCTCTTCATCATTGAGGAAGACTATGCGGTATGATATTTTTTAATATTTTACACTGTACATCTTAACAGTTTTCTTATTTTTCACCTGCAGGATAAATGTTTTCAGAGTTGCATTTAAGTTGCGGAATCTTATGATTCCCTTTCTTTTATCTAGGCACTGCGTACTTCCATTGATGCCTATGACAACTTTGACAACATCTCACTGGCCCTGGGCCTGGAGAAGCATGAGTTGATTGAGTTTAGGAGGATCGCTGCCTACCTTTTCAAGGGCAACAACCGCTGGAAACAGAGTGTTGAGCTCTGCAAGAAGGACAAGCTCTACAAGGTGCATGCCCGCTAAAACAAACAGTAATTTTGAGGATATACTCCAGTTCTTCCATATAATAAGAAACCAGTTGATTGCGAAAATGGAAGATGTGGTCACTTTCCCCATGTCAAGGTATTGAACTCTAGTTGCTCTTCCGTCTCTGCAGGATGCCATGCAGTACGCATCAGAGTCCAAAGACATCGAGCTGGCAGAGGAGCTCCTGGCTTGGTTCCTGCAGGAAGACAAAAAGGAGTGTTTTGCAGCATGCCTATTCACCTGCTACGACCTGCTGCGGCCCGACGTGGTGCTGGAGACCGCCTGGCGACACAACATAATGGACTTCTCCATGCCCTACTTCATCCAGGTCATGAGGGAGTATCTCTCTAAGGTGGGTTGGCCAGAGGGTAACCAGTGAGTGCGGTGTATCAGGACAAAGAAGATGGCTTTGTGAGAAGGTTTCTTCAGCGAGAAAGACATGAGTAATGTTAGAAATACCCTGTGCAATTCTAAGGTAACTACAGTGAAATAAACTAATTAGAAGGTAGATGGGCAGGATTACGTACATGTTGACTATGGGTTTTTTTTCTCCTGCAGTTAGGTGTCAGTGCTTGTGAAATAGTATTGGCAAACCTGTATCTGTCCATCCATGTCCTGGGTTTACCATATCAGACCTTTGCAGATGGGCGAACTACAGAAAGACATATTCAATTGAATCTTTAAATACATTTTCCCTGATTGGTTTTCCACCCATCTGATACCTAAAATGTGTTTGCAAACACTCTTCAGCTGTAGGCAGTGACACACAGTTCCTCCCAGACAGTATCAAAGATAAAGCCCCCCTAATACTGCCTATTCTTTCCTCCATTCATGCTCATCTTCCCATGCTTCTGTCAGTCATGTGTCATCACTGGTGTTTTCCTTTTCATTTGGATTTCCATCCGTTCAAGCTACTTTTCCATACAAATGCGTTCCAGAGGAGATTCATAACTGCTGTGTTGCTCGTCATGCCATTTATCTCCGTTACATGGCAAAACAAACACCCACCGACCTATTGCTTTTATAACAGACAGCAAACCTGAGTGAAGCATTTGTAGCATTTATTTAGGGGACTTTACTACATCATCAACATAATTCAGATTTTCATATAAGCTGTTAGTTATACAAAGTCTTTAGTTTGTTTTCTTGTGACTGACTAATTCTTAGTGCTTGCGGCAAACCCCACCACTTGGTTACTATAAACAGGTTAAAACGAGGGATCATACGTATAATGACAATAAATCTTTTTCTTAAGTCTTTGCATTATACATTAAACACTGAATATTATTTGGTAGATCTTGTTTACGTGTTTAAACTTACTGTTGGCCCTATTAGTCAACATCTGTATTTAAATTTTTCCACTGTTTTAAGCAACAAAGGGAAATTCACAGTACCAGAGTAATCTCAAGTCTGCATTTGTATCAAAAGTGGCGTTATTACCCGCATCTCTCGAAGGATTGTTTTTGTTTTCTTTAAGTGACAAGTCCACTATTTGCTCTTTTCTCTCTGTCAATTTCTATTTTGGGAGACTTCCATTTGTTTTTTTTCCTCTTTAAGTTGCCTCTCTGAATTTCCTTTCCAGGTTGATGCGATAAAGGAAAAGGTGAAAGTCGAATCCATTTTCTAATCATTCTTTTTGACCCCTCTCCCCTGTCCTGTAGTTTGGAGGAGTAAAAGTAGCAGAAACTGCATGACCCCTCTCCCCCCATGTCACTCTGCTGCTTCTGATTGTAATCTCCACTAGACTACCTACCAACCCCAGAAACTCCAGAGCGGGGCTCTTCACACCCATTCCTCAGGGTTCTGCTAGGCTTGCTGGTGTTAGTGATGGCTCTGGATGAAACAGTTTAAGGACTAGTTATTGAATTAGATGGGTACAAACCTTATAGTAAGAGGTGTGAAAGTCCATTTTTCCAATATGTGAAGACGTGACATTTCTGTTCCTCCTTGGCATTACGTTTAATTCATAATTATTAATTGCTGATGGGATTCACCACCTGATAAATCATGGATAACAGAGATCATTTGTTTTTGTGGTGGCATGTTGCAGTCAGGTGCCCAGATTTGCTCAGACGTGTCAACACTGTAACCAATTATTGCCTCAGGATCTGTATTATGCTTTGTGTAAATACTACTTTTAATTTGCAGGATTACAGTTCAGACTGTCAAGCATAAACTTAGACTTTGCTAACGGTAATTAAACAGCAGGAAATTTTGCTGCCAATGACACTACATGCGGGCCAGAAAATGGAAACGATGAGCAGAAAGATGCTCTAAAGCTCCAGAGAGCTGAGGGGAGCTGCAGATGATAATTCTCTGTGGGTTTGTCACAACAAGCGACCCCTTTCACATATTTCTATGAGCCCTGTCTTCCTCCTCAAACATTCTTGAGCCATCCACTTAAACCAGTATGCCCATCAGCTCTTCTTAGGTGTGGGCGAAGAGCGCCACTCTGGATATCTACCTCACCTGCTGTGGTCAGGTCCTTTTCTCACAGACTTGTAGATACATTCTAATGTTAAAACTGTCCTGTAACACCTCTCAGCTGCAGTCTGCCGCTAGCAATCATCCTGACATGGTACAGGATCATTTCAGGAAAGCGTATGTTTTCACCCTGTAGACATTGTGGGAGGGAGTTTCAAAGTGTGTAACATCAATCATTTTTAATTATATCTTTACATTGAGAGGGGTTAGGGCATATTTATACCTGTTTTGGTCAGTGGTGCAGTAGCGTAGACTGCAGCTAAGTGTAAGACCTAATTTCAGTAATAGAAGATCCAGTGAGGCATTATTTTAATGAAGTGACCATTCTTTCAGAGACCTATTTTCCTCCATGTCTGTCTGTACTACTGAATCTATCTCAATGCTATAGAAGAACACAGACGATAAAAAGCATAAACATGAGGTACAGGCATTTCTCTACAGTAGATGTCTTTCTGAGTATTCTTTGCTACTGTAAAGTGTGGTCTCTTCAAGCGACAAACAACTTGAGTGGATGAGAGCAAATCTATAGTTTGTGTGTGTGTTTTTTTGGGGAAAAATACTTGTAGAGCATCGAGCATGCATTTCCACCTCCCTTGGTAGCAACAGCAGCACTCAGGCCAGGCTAGGAGACATCGTTGTTGGCTGTGCCTGCTTCTGGAAACCTTGAACTGGCTGTACAAAACCATCCCCTTCACCTTTCACACTCCCTCCACTACGCTCTCTGCTTCTCGGTCTCTCTTTCTCATGCACTCCTCAAGAAGAAAAAAAAACTAAACTGCCGCTTCAGCATGTCTCTCAACCCTTCTCTTCTGAAACGAAACAACAGCTTGTCTTTTCTTGAAACAGCCTGCTTAACCAGATTGACTGACTGTAGTAAACCAGACAGTATGTAGAGAACTTAACCCAGAACCGCCATAAGAGGAAAGCTATCCAGTTACACCATTTAGCACTGTCCTTCACCGATTTCAACAGTATTTAGGCTGCACACTTTCATAGCTGAGGGTAACATCCAAAGCTTTTTCTGGCTGCTTAATTCTTTGAATTGTTTTTATCGCTATCTTTTGTCTTTTCCTCGTCATTGTCTGCCTCTGAGCTGCTTAGCAAATACTGAAGCACCAAAGAAAAAAGGGGTAGTTAATTCTCAAGGCTACTACACGCTTCTTGTAGCTGTTCGCACTCAGGCAGTGACTTAATGGGGCCGTGTGTGAGGGCCAGGGACACACCTAAAAAAATGTTAACCTCAAAATGTTAAACCTTGGAAACACCGTGACATAATTCTGCATATTATTGGTGTTCTTTTTTCAAATACTGGCAATCGGAAATGATTGAATAGGCAAATGTAACAACAATAAATGTTTGAAAATATTCTTACCTGCAAGTTTTTGATAGTTTCTATTAAAGGTAAAAAAAATAATAGCCAATTAATTGATTACTTGATCATCAATATAAATAAATCACAAACTAATTTGATTGATTTTTTTCAACTAGAAATTTGTCTTATGTGATAATAAATTGAAAATCTTTTGGTTTTGGACTGTTGGTCAGACAAAACAAGCCTTTTGATGAAATGAAATTGTGATGGCCATTTTTCATTCTTCTGTCATTGTATAGCCCATTCGATTAATACATTTATTAATATAATATTATTAATTTATAATCAAATAATATGCAAATTAGTCAGTGTAAATAATTGTTAGATACAGCCCTATTTTCAAAAGTGCACCATACTGTAATCAGTGCATTTTCAAATAAATACTCATATCAGTTCATGGTTATTCCTGTAACCCCAACATAGACTACAAAAAGTTATAAAGTATCTTTGTGAATGAGCATTTCTTTGAGTACTACAGCTGTCTCATGAATGTCTAAGGATTAAAGGTGAAGTAAGTGTGCATGAATGTTTATGGATGGCACACACAGGTGTACAGACAAGGCAGCGTACACACAGGCACATGACGGCTCTTTCAGCCTCAAGTTTTACTTAATAGCTGTATTTTATTACTTTGTGTTAATACCGAGGCATCGAGCTCAGTCTTCCAGAATCCAGTCTTTACCTCTATTTGGTTCATAGTTGCAGCTTAAAAATGTATTCTAATCATTCTTATAAATCCTGATTGCTACTGAAGGCTAATCAGTTCTCTGTCCACCAACTTTTAACGCAAAAATAAACAACTTTTTGATATTATGTTAAGAGATGGGCAAACTAACTAATGGGCGTTAAAAACATAAATGTTGGTCTTAGTAAGTCTATTTACTTCCTTCGTGTTTGTAGTTCAACTGAAATTTCCCCTACAGGGGATTAATAAAGTTATATCTCATCTTATTTATACTGGTCAGGGGTTGGTTCTCTACATACTCCAACATGTTATAGTAGATGATTTGGGTGGCTGGATGGTGGGACCATTATTGCCCAGTAGCTGTTTGTCTTTGTCTCCCGTCCTAATCCCTAATACTTTCCACAAAGAAGTGGACATCTTTGTGTAGCTAAGCTTGATAGAATAGTAAGCAGCTCTCTAGATGTAGGTACTCCTTTTGCCTTCTAGAGGGCCTCCAACATACTAGCAAGGCCTGCCTCCTGCAGCCTGTTTTTATTTAAATCTGGACTGTATTCATCTTTGCCTGTCAGGAATGGTCCCATCCGTCAGCCAGTGAAAAAACCCAGAGGTCAGTCTTTACAAACTCAGCGTCTCAGCCCTTGCTCTTCAAGAGCCCCATCGGCTACAGTGTAACTGATGTCTGATACCGTCGCTGCTGTTGTGTTTTCCACAGGTGGACAAACTCGAAGCCTCTGAATCTCTGAGGAAACAGGAGGAGCAGGCTACGGAGTCTCAACCCATTGTTTACGGTACGGCACAAGGATGATAATAGCATTGCTGTCATCCAGTCTTCAACAGTTTTGAGGTCATTTAAAGGAAAATAGAGAATATTTTTGACAATATGACCAAAGCCATACTCTTAACTACTCTGATTCTGTTGCAGGCACACCCCAACTCATGCTCACAGCAGGGCCCAACGTGGCTGTGCCTCCTCAGCAGTCATATGGCTACGGCTACACAGCAGCACCAGGCTACAGCCAGCCACCACAGCCCAGCTTCGGTTATGGCATGTGAACACCCAACAACTCAACCCCAACCACCATCACAACTTGACACAACTTCCTTCCATTTGTCTTTCTCTCTTTGTGTTCCTCACCAGCTTCCCATGGTCTTCTACTCACAACAGGGGCCACAAGCAAGCAACAGCCCACTCTCCTTTGAGTACTATTTTTTTATTATGTTGTCTGTTACAAGAGAAAACATTTAACTGCATTGAAGGACTTTTATTTGTATTGTTTGAAAAGAAATTGGACCACATGTATGTTTGTTTGTTTTTCACATTCCATATTTATGACTACTTATTTAGATATTTCTTTGTGTTTGTTAATGTTGTCATGTTTTGTTTTGTTTATTGGTTTTATGGTTTGTGCAGAAGTGGACTTGCTAAAGCTCAGCAATGAACCTTTGAAGTAGGTGGAGGAGCATTGGAATTTGCACTCGTGAAGAAATTAATGTAGAGAAGCTCTTACTTTTGATGTACTGAACATGTGAACAGCTTAAATTGTCTCGTTTGTCTGTATAATGCATTTCATCATTGTATATTCTGAGGAGAAAAAAAAGTTACATATAATATTTGAACATATATTGCCATTTCAATGGCTATAGTTAGCAACACTAAGTGATGATAGTATATTCTGCACAAGCGTGTAGCTTTATGGAGTTTAAAATGCATACAGATGTATGTCACTGTGTGAATAAGGATGTGTTTGTGTGTGTGTGTGTGCGTGTGTGTGTGTGTGTGTGTGTGTGCGCGAGTGAGTGTGACCCAATGGTCTAAATAAGAATTTTAACCCCCCCCCTCTCAGCCTGTACTGGGCTGTCCAATTCACCCTCCTAGATGTTAGCTCTCCGTCATTGGCTCCATGTATTTAGGTGACCTCTTGTGACGTGTACAGTGCTTGTGTGAGACTGTATCTGTGTATGTGCAAGGACGGGACCACGGCTAACAGACCCCAGGGCCCTTAACCGTACCGTGTGTGTGCATTTACTCCTCGTGCTGAGGTCTGTGTATGACAGGTGTTTTTTGGTGTTTCCCTTGGTCACCATTACCCCCCCCCCCCCCCCCCCCCCCCCGTACAGATGTGAACATTTAAACTTTTAAATGGAGACCCCACCCACTTGTCCTCCACCTACTCTCCTGTCCTGTTTCCTCCTTGGTTAATGCTTGGCGGCAAGAACAAACAAGGAGGCAGAAAAAGACAGGCCGGTGGAATCTTTGGTGTCCTACTTGACAGCTTGATTAGATCCATAAACACTCCTGTAGGTTATGTGTATTGATGGTTATGATGAAGAAATTAGGTCTCAGTACATCCAGTTCTTTGTCAAGAATGGTCTGAAATAAGAGCCTGTATTTACGTTGATGTACTTAACTTCCTTACACGCTTTAAGCTGTGTGTAAAGTGTCATCCTAACTCTAACATAAGTTGAATTCCTTTCTGTTGTCATGCATATTAGTAATGCAGGGGATCTGTCATTAATAAGTGGAAGAATATGACTAAACTGAAAGGGAAATACTAGCCTAAATAAAAACATAAAATTGTACCCAGTGTCCTGTGGAGTTAGTTTTTTTTATTGTTTTGTTTTTGCAATATGCTTGCACACAAAGAGCCAACCTAAATCACAATAAATTAATAAAACGTGTACATGCCAGTGATCAAAAGCTTATAAAACAATAATGAAAGTGCAAGAGAAATCTTTATTAGTATGTTATATATGTTGAAGTTGCATTACTCCTTGAAACGTGTTCTTCTGGGAGGCCCTGTAAAATCTGATGGCTTTAAACCATTTAAAGCCTTCCTTTCCACTTCACTGCAGTATATTTCAGGGAGTCCTGTAGCCCTGCACATTAACATACACATGAGGTTTATTCAGTTAATATACACACTCAGAATAGAGCTTGTATTTCCATATGGGGCAGTCATGTCGTTAATCCTTACTTGAGCTCCATCAGCTTCTTCTCTTTGATCTCATCAAGGCGCATGCGTCTCTGCCGTGCTTCCTCGACCAACCGATCAGCCTCCTTGAAGATCTCTCTGCGCTTTGCTATGGCTGAGAGCTCACGTTCCTTCACCTGATTTCGGATAGCCTCTGCTTGACTGTGCGCTTTCTGACGCTGCTTCTCCTCCTCCTCCTTCTGTTTGATGATCGCTTCCTGTTGCACCCTGTGTGGAGAAAGGTAGAAGTGGGAAGGAAGACTAATATTAATGAAAATGATATGGTTGAATGTGTGAAATGGTATGAATAAATGGAAATGCATGTTAATGCCTGAATACGTGCATTTTTACTACACTGATTAAACCCTCCCTCTGTAGGTCTACTTTCACTGAATCAGAAGGTACTGTCACAATGACATGGAGTGTCTTACTTCAGCACCCTCTCAAACTCTGCCTTCTCCCGGCCAGCCTCGATCGACAGGAAATGCTCCTTGCATTGAACCTGCTCCAATCGAGCTTTTCTCAGCATCGCTTCCTTCTGCGCTTTCTTTAAACCCAGCTCTCTCTCTTTTCTCCTCCATTCTCTGTCTGTGATTTCTTGGTTCCTCCGAGCACGGAGCTCATCCTTCCAAATGCACAGACACAAAATTTGTACATACTGAATGCTTTAATTTCCACAAATCTGTATGGAAGGTAAGTACCTTAAAAGTGTAATTAAAGTATTTTATCTGTAATAGGGTTTAATTCAGCAGGCACAACCTTTATGGCGGTGGTCAGCTGGTGCTTTTATTCCTGACCTGTTCAGCCTTGTAGTCTTTTGCTTTTTCTTGCCTGGCCCTCAGTCTGGCAATCTCCAACTCCTTCTCCTTCTTGATTCGTCTCTGCTCCGCTTCATGTTCTGCCTCCCGCTGCTGCAGATGCCATGAAATGTCAATATATGAAGAATAAAAAACACTTGGAAAAGAAAACAATATTATTATTATTCTTATATGTAGGAGACAGAGTTATTTAACTGAACTTTATGGGTATGAACTGTCCCTGGATTACTGTTTGCTTAATAGTATTTGCTGCTGATTGTCTACAGAGCTAATTGTCTTCATCTGACCAGTTTGCTTCGGATGTATTCCATATCTCTCATGTCAGCCAGCTTCTCCTCCTCTTTCCTCTGCTCCTTGGCTCGCATGGTCTCAGCATTGATACGCATGATCTCCTCCTGCAGATGCTGTTGCTCCTCCCTCTTCTTCTCCAGGGCCTGGAAGAAGACAACCAGTCACAGAAGAAACAGACCCCCAGTGCAAGTGTACCGCACAAGTGGTTGCATATCCCTTGGAGCATGTACGTGACTCTATGACTGTTGTAATTTGTAGTGTTGCATTGTCGCCACACCTTGAGGTCTTCCAGGTTCATTTTCTCCTGCTTCTCTCGTATCTGCTGTCTCTCTTGCTCTTTCATTTCCTCCTCCACTTGCTTCTCCTCAAGATGTTGCTGGATCTGGCTGTGAATTTGCTGCATTCCACTGGAATATTACACAAGCACAACACACACGAGATAACTACGTTACACTGGAAGGGCTTTGCCTTTACTGCCCACCAGTAGCCTGATGATTTGAACAGGAATCTTATTAGAATGATGTAGGAGGTGTGGGGTGGGTCAAGTGAATTAAGAGCAAACATTTTTCCCTACTTACAAGAAGATGCAATCAGGTTAGTAAGTGCATTTTTTCCATCTTCACTAATGCATAAATCGACACATGAATGATTGTGTGTCTATTTCCAGTAGCGCTCTCTTCACCTGATCCTCTGTTGTTTGTATAGCTCATCAATTAGCTCCATTGTCTCCAGGGCCTTGCGCCGTTCCACCTCCATCATGGCATCCAGACGCTTCTCCTCCTCTGACAACTCCCGCTGGATCTGTTTCTTCTCCTGGATCTGGGCGTCACGTGTGGCTTGACACTGAACATCTAGAATCAGCTGAGAACACACACATGCGCAGAAGTATTGATGTATCGATGAAAATCATACAAAAAAGTCTGCAGTGCTGCCAGTGATTGACGGGGGTTTACTTTCAGGCACATGTTTACACTTCAGTGCTCAACAGCTGCTTACTACCTGGTTGAGCATTTTGATCTCATCCTCTTGCTCCATCCTTAAGGCGTTGGCCTGCTCCACCAAGTGCTGCTCACGCTCCAGGGACTCTAGCTCCAACTCAGTCAGTGGCTGGTTCTCCTTACGGGACACGTCTGCTTCATAGATTTGATGCTTTCTTTCCTCTACAGCTTTCTGGATGTAGGGTATATCAAAAAAAGAGTGATTATTGTGTCACCGTAAAATCTACAAGTTCAAGGACAATTTAGATTGAAGTTTTTCATGTTCCTTACGATTTCCTCTTCTTTCTTCCTCTGATAAGCCTCTTTCAAGGCCTCCCTCTCCTCTTTGGTGACAACCCGAGATGCTAAGGTGATCCGCTCAAACTCATCTGATGGTAGGATGATGGATCGTCCTGAAGGATCCTTAAATGGGATCCTGGCATAATGACAGGAGGTGGTTTGAATGTGTGCTCTATAGGTTTCAGCGCTGCATAATCACTGAATAGTAATCACCTTTACAATATTGTGACATTCATTTTTTATCTGATGTGCTGTACCTCTGAATTATGGAGACTGATTATAAAGTAGGCTAAGTATACTTGCTCAGCTTTTCAAGTTTGCTTTGTATTATTTTGAAGCTACTTAAATTTTCATCTATCAAAATATGCATCATGCTTTGTAGGGGAGACCAGGTATGGTTGTTACACTTTTTGCTCCAGCAACTATAACTTTGCTGAATTTTTGTAGCTAGAGTTCTCAAACTTTTATACAAAGTACCCACATTTGTTCACTACAAATATCACCAATTAAATTCTCTACAACATCAAAGACTTTGAGAGTTGATGTCAAATGCATTGTGTTCCCTTGTTACATCCTACCCCAATACCAGGGTAGGTTGTGTAAGACAAAAGAATTAAAAATAGATGCCACACTATATGATATGCTTCAAAAACAATTACAGTGAAATAAAAGAATAATTTTTCTCTCTTACTGGGTATGTATGTGTATGTAAATTTATCTAGCCTATAAAATAAAATTACTTAACAGTATACCTACTACAATGTACTTAATTAAAGAACATCTTTGTACATCCTTAGTTCTAACAAAAAGGTGGTGTGTGTCAATTTGTGTATAGTCTAAATCAGAGTCAGTGCTTAAGGTGGGCCGGTGTTCTGACGATCTATGCCGCTTTGTCGAAAAATGCTACGGTAGCTAGCGCAAATCGACAGCAGAGTCTATCGAGTCGCTCTGCCCTGTCGAAAAATGCTACCTTGTGTGTTCCCTTTTCCAATCCCATAAAGTTATAACTCTCACAGTATTATGACATATTCTGTTTTTTTATTATAACATCATTTCAGGGGTAGTGTATTCTGATATCTAATATCCCCTATCAAATAATGCTCCCACCACAGAATCATTTTATATTGCACCACTACTCACTCCATGTGTACTGTAAGGAGATGGGGAGCATGTTGAAATACTATATTATTCCATCTTTATTTAAGATATCAGGGGTAGTGTATTCTGATGTTTTTATATACAGTTTATGATTCTGATAGACTAATAATGAATTTTTTTTTTTGATGTTACTGACGATCAGCCACTTTCTCGATGGCATTCCCAACAGCAAGGTTGGACAGATTTATGGGCGTGGAAACAAACCACGCTTGTGGGTCATACGCATGCGCAGAACCCCTAAGTAGCACATCTCGATAGGTAGCATAAATCGACAGAACACCGGTACTCACCGGTACGCAGTACCAGCACTTCTATATTTTACTCTTTGGCACTCTTTGGTACCGGGATTTCTCACAAGCTGCCTGTGCACTTCTCTGCCCTATTCACTGGCGGAGACGTAGTACGGAAAATATCGAGTGCCAATACACACGCCAACATGTGAATGGGGAGTACTGGTCACAGTGCTGACTAATGAATGTGGTAACCCAGGAGTGCAGGCTTGGTGGGCCCTGACTGCAAAGGGTACTCTGTAAAATGTTAAAATCAAGAAAGTCCCTAGTTTAATTTATAGGAGATGGTTGTAACACTTTATAAAGAAGTGATACAACCCACCCCACCCCTGTAAGCATAGTGGTTTGAAATTAGAAAGGAAAAAAAGCATCACATGTTGAAACTACATTTCAATCTAATGTAAGTTAAACAATTTTATCTGCAGTAACATTAGTATACATACGAAACAAAATATAGTCTTGGTCAAAAAATGTACTTTACCTCAAAATCAGTTTTTTTTTTCTCTATATATTCTGAATGTACCTGTTTCCAGCCTTGACAAACACCACGCCTGATGGGGGAGGAAGTAGGTAAAAAATGATATGATCATGTAACTCCTATCTTATCTTTAATTGGTGGAATTAGTGTTGTTACAACTCTTCCCACGTTACAACCATACCCGGTCTCCCCTATGTATGTGTTAGCCTAACGTTACCTCAGATTGCGAATGAGGTCTTTGGTGATGATTTGAACAGCCTCTCCACCCTGGTTCTTCTGGGACTGATTCTTGGCCTTGGAGGTTGAGTTTACATGTTTGTCCGACTGTGATGATATGTGGACAGAGTTAGCACCATACAGCCCCACATATAAATTGTGATTTCTCCACCCTTGCAACACATCAAACTCTAAAACAGATGTTTAAAACACTGCGGTAACGCGAACCGCCAAATGCAATACCGTGGTCAGGCCAGCCGCCGTCTGATTTCTGTTGCGCCTAAAGCAGTGTTATTATGGTAAGGACGAGGTGCGAGTGAGCCGAAGGTCCTGAAAGATACATACGCGTTTTTGTTGTGACGCTCTTAGTGATTATATGAACACAAATACATACAGCAGAAATATAATAATATTACTAATAACAATAATGATAATAGAAGTATAATTTATTATTATTTGTTATTGATGCAAATACAAAAGGTACCTTTTCTTTGTTATTTTGTGAACATAATTTATATGAAATTTGACCTTTCACCAGCGTAATTCCTCAGCAGATAGTTCAGCATTGTCATGGTTTCTCCTTACTAGTGTCCTCTACTATCACTGGTACAGATATAACATTTTACTGTACCAAATTGGAGAAATTACATTCTAAAAACCCCTTCAAGAGGAAAAGTTAACATACAAGACAGTTAACATTTCTGTGAACTTTGACCTTTTTTAGAGTGTAATTTCTCCAGGTTAGTACAGTAAAATGCTCTGATATATGTACCAGTGATAGTAGCGGACAGTATGAAGCAGAAGATATGAAACCTATTAAGGAACTGTTTTGGTGAATGGTCAAAGTTCACAGAAAATGTTAACATGTTTATATTTTACTGTTGGGGTTTTTAGAGTGCAATATCTCATAGGTGGTACCGTAAAACCTTATGATATTTGTACCAGTGATAGTAGAGGACTCTAGGAAGGAGAAGCCATGACAACGCTGAACTAACTGCTGAGGAATTACGCTGGTGAAAGGTCAAATTTCATATAAATTATGTTCACGAAATAAAAAAGAAAAGGTACATTTTGTATTTGCATTAATAATAAATAATAAATTATACAACTATTATCATTATTGTTATTAGTAATATTATTATATTTCTGTTGTATGTATTTGTGTTCATATAATCACTAAGACGATCACAAAAAAACGCGTATGAATCTTTCAGGAACTTCGGCTCACTCGCACCTCGTCCTTACCATAATAACACTGCTTTAGGCGCAACAGAAATCAGACGACGGCTGGCTTGACCACGGTTTTGCATTTCACACCATAGCCATAAACTGATGCCACAGGCCTGGTAACATTAGCCATGCCATTAGAAATGTAAAAAAGCACACTTAACAGCAATGTCATGTTTCGATTGGACTATGATATGTACTACACTCACCTTTTGGCTCCCAAACAGGGTTTCGTCCACCTGAGAGGTGGGGGCCCGCGTGCGGTACCGGCGGGTATGAGAGCTGCTCCATGAGTTTGTGGAGCTGGATCCCAGTCTCTACAGGGATTAACATGTGTGAATAGATGACCGCGTTCTCCATTAATTACGACTGATTAGCGGACTCAATTGCTAAAATTAAACACCTTTGACAACTGGCAGATAACGTTACATGAAAAGTTGCATGACGCTGCTGTAACCTGTCTTAAAACTCACCATGGTCCTCGATTATTATTGGTGTCCAGGTCAACGCAGAATGAACGTGTCGCTCTAACGTTTGTAGTTTGTTGTTAAGAAATGTCAAAGATAATACGAGATAAATGTTTTGTTATAAATGTAGCTTGCTCGTAAACATGACAGTTTCTGGCCATCCGTTGAAAATGTGGAAATGTTTGTTGTCTGTTGCCATGGGAGCATATGCAGGGCTGAAAGGAGGAGGTAGCTACCAAGCTGCTGCAAGTGTCGGAGACAGACATTTAGCGTTATGAGTTGTACTTATGTGGGAGTTTCTGTGCAAAATGGAAAACAACGAATAAAAGTGATGACGATGGTATCCTCAGCTGTAACCGTTTGACTTTTCTTAATGTGCACATGCACAAAGGTGACATTTACACTGGACGCTGGTGACATGTACCCACCACTTTTTGAAAGCTTCATATGTTAAAAATGTTCTGGAAAATAGCTTGCAACAATTCTAAATGCAGACATCATTAAAGCCAAACAGTAGGCCTACATCTTTGTATAGGCTACAGCAATGAAAAATGGACAGAAATGTGATCTTTCACTTAACACGAACGACTGTTATTACTGTTATTATAAATTACAGGTTAAATTAATATTTTGTCGGTTAAACATGCATGTTTCTTATTTATTTTACAATGACCTGTCTCAATTACGATGAACAACATCCCAGTTGCTAAAACACAGTGTTGTGTGGGTCGCCTTCGTGGCTGGGCGGCGCCTGTTGAGCCACATGATGCGGAAACTTCACATACTTGACGGGCTCCGGTGTACAATGAAAGATGTTATTTTAGGAAAAAGTCATAACACGCAAACATCTGTGGGGTGGATAACCTTCCTACACAGACAAGAGGAGCTGGACATGCACAGGTATCAGTGTCCTGCTTCCACTAAAGACTTAAAGAGAATGAACATGCCTCACATTTTAGCTTTACTGGGACTTAATTGAGCTAGATGAGCTTTTTATTCATACTGTGTGTAAATAGTCATGCATTATTCAGAGTCACTTGCTAACAACCCACCGTGAGTGTGTAATCTGTTTTGCAACTTTGTACTTATTTTGGCACTCTTTCTGTCTAATAGATGTTTTGCTGTTGGGGAACAGTTCACACTCCCCCCTCTTGGAAAGGAGCCTCTGCAGTGACTATTGGATTCCCCAGTAAATCATTAACCGGACCAGTCTGAGGACTCTTTTCATAACATCCTCACATAGACAGCAACAGATGAAAATAACGTCATCGTCACTGTTCAAGACCCCTTTTTATACATCGATGTCTGAAGAAAACAACAGAAATACAGTGTTGATGTCACAGACTGATTGAATTCCTTTTCCAACCCCTCTGGCGTCCAGCACATGATAACAACAACCCAGATTAAATCAACTTCAGGGAAGAGAAGTTGACCATTAACCTCCCCTACTGATTGCAAGCACCTCTCCACATGTAAGCAGCTGCTTCTGTACGGAGAAACCTGAGGCAAAGTTCACTGTCAGGGGCAGCAGAAGTCTCTCAAACAGCAGGAGCTTGCTCCCTCCTCTGGATTTGCACTTTTTTCTTCCAGTTTCTGCAATTTTTTTAAAGGACTAAATCTGCAGCCATGGCTACAGCAAGTTATGGATACTACAGAGGCACTATATTTCTGGCCATGTTTGTAGGCTACACACTGTACTACTTTAACAGAAAGACTTTCTCCTTTGTGATGCCTTCTCTAATGCAAGAAATTAAGATGGATAAGGATGACCTGGGTATGCGACTCATTTTGCAATGACTTTATGCTTGATGTTTTGCTAGTCCTGTAATAAGGAATGTAATAGTTAATGCTGTTAAAGCACTTTTGTTACGGGAAGTTTATGCCTTCTTCCAAAAGTCATAACTTTTAAACTTGAAAATTGTAAAAATACAACGCTGGATGAATTATTTCCCCCTAAAATGTCAACATCATAAGCATTACTTTCATACCTGCTGTTACACTTACTTATCCTGATATACAGTTTCTTGGTATACTTCAGATTTAGATTACAGGCATGTTTCTATGCATTACATATTAGCTGTGTACTTTGCAGAGAACTGTATGTCCGAGAGATTTAGGACCATTCTTGCTCTCAGTTTTATCTGCCATGTGTACACACCTCTTCTCCTGCCCTCCCTTTGTTCAGGCATGATCACCAGCAGTCAGTCTTTGGCCTACGCTATCAGTAAGTTCATCAGTGGCGTGCTTTCAGACCAGATCAGTGCCCGTTGGCTCTTCTCTATTGGCCTGTGCATGGTGGGAGGTGTCAACGTGGTCTTCTCCTGGTCCTCCACTGTCACTGTCTTCTCTGCCCTGTGGTTCCTTAACGGCTTGGGCCAGGGCCTCGGCTGGCCTCCCTGCGGCAGAGTTCTGCGTAAGGTACCTGAGCCACATGCCAGTATATCAGTGAAGCAATACAGTGACATCAGATTCAAGCCGTGTATTTTTGTTTTTCTTTCCTGTGTCGTAAAGAACAAATACATAATACACCTTATAATTAACCAGGAGTTTTTTTAGTTTTGTTTACTAGTGCAGGTTAAATTCACACAAATAAAATACAAATGACTATTAAAATCTATCTACATAATAATAAAAAACAGTAACAAAATAATAAACCAAGAGATAAAAGTATACATCCTTCTCTATGACTCTGAAGGAACATGTCATTTTAATCAAATTTTTATTTTTATTTGTTCCACAATGCACAACTCAAGAAAAAATAAATGCGATTCACAATCTAAACACAACTCGATTTACATGTTCCACCGCTTTAATGAAATGAAAAAAATGGCCCTTTCATCTTCAAAAGCCTCAAATACAGAGGGTGTCTCATAAAATTGATAGTTGTTGTTCTTTATAGTGTACTCAATAAACTATTGCAGTGTTAAAATCTTGAATCAAAGATTTTTGAGCACAATCAATCAAACAAAGATTGACACAAAGAAAGGCTCACCCAATGTTGGCTTTACAAAATAGGCAATTATTAGAAGTTACATGTTTGATTAAAGAAGCATATTTTTGTAGAAATAATTCAGTATTCCTTGACCAAATCTTTCTTTTATATAGGGCCAGGTATTCTACAGAAAGAACATCACCAATAACATGATTATTTCATTTTGTGTCAAGACACACCGGTGGAACCAAAGACCAACGAACATTTGTTGGTGGAACTGGTTCATATTTTTGAACAATGTCGCTAGATGCTCCCAGACATACCTCTCTTTAAAGCCACTGAGAACTTGTTTACAAATTCAGAATCAGAAATACTTTATTGATCCCCGAGGGGAAATCTATTTTACAGTTGGTCACGTTGCTAAACAAGGCATTAAAGAAATAAAGAAATAATAATATTAATATATATTAAATAGAAAATATAGAAATATGAAAATAAAAATAGGAGTGTGGAAATATGTACAGTATACTACAATATGTGACTGTGTGTAATAAATAAATAGTAGTAATAATCATGAGTACTAATGTTGAGAGCAAGAATGGATGGATTTAAATCTTTAAAAATTGGATTATTGGGACAGTATTCTCAATAACATTCAATACTAATGACTAAATAAGCACTAATCAAAGTAAATGTTAAGAAAGAAACATCCTTAGATGTTATTTATTATGAATTTAACACTTATAACCTCAGATAATATTGTACAGTATGAGTGAAAAGTTCCTCCCTCTCTTGTTTGGGGTGTAGCAGTTCACATCGTGCAAAATGTCATTCAGTTATTACCTGCTGTCAATTCCAAACACTGCACTGGTTCAATCATTGCATCCTTCTTGTATATTGAATAAAAGATAATGACACTTCCTGTCAACTCCTGTCATGATTTCATGTCATTTATTTTATCTTCTCAGTGGTTTGAGCCCTCTCAGTTTGGGACATGGTGGGCAGTTCTATCCTGCAGCATGAATCTGGCTGGCAGCTTGGGCCCCATTATTGCCACGGTGCTGGCCGACAGTTACAGTTGGAGGACGATACTGTCGGTATCTGGAATGATTTGTGTGGCATTCTCATTTGTCTGTCTGGTAATCATCAAGAATGAGCCTAAGGAGGTGGGGCTGCCCAATATAGAGGCAGGAGCCAAGAAGAGCAAAGGAGGTGAGACTGACCTTTTACTGAATGATTTATAATAATTCTTCAGTTTTAGTAACAATCTGAAACGCATTTTTAGCCAATACTTTCTCTGACAGTAACTGAATTAGTATATAAGCAAAAGTCAGTGAACACACAGCTGTGAATTGTCCAGATGTGTGTGTGTGTGTGTGTGTTTGTGTTTTCATACAGCATGTGTTGTGGCTAAAGGTCACTGACTTGAACTATGTACCCAGTGTGGCTCTCACATGCGCTGTGTGAGCTCATGCACAGGCAAAGTCAGAGTGCAGTATGTGTGGTGAAGAGATGTTTCATGCATTAGTCTCAGTAGAAGCAGAGGTCCTTCCCTTCCCCGCTTCGGTTATGTTACATTTCAGATACATTCAGGGCATGTAAAAACACTGGATTGGCAGACAATATTCAGTGCTCAGTCTGCTTCCTGTTCAGGATCCTCCAGTGACGAAAGCACCCTGTCAGAGTTCCTGCTGTCACCCTACCTGTGGCTGCTCTCTGTGTCCTACCTGGTGGTGTTCGGGGTGAAGACGGCCTGCACCGACTGGGGCCAGCTGTTTCTCATTCAGGACAAGGGCCAGTCTACACTCATGGGTACGGAAGAGGGGTAGTCGTCTCTGATTTCTGTTGGGAAATATGTTAAGAGTGAAGTTTACCTTGTACCTTGTTTTTTTCTTGTCAATCACTATATTCTTATACATAGGTAGCTCATACATGAGTGCCCTGGAGGTTGGAGGTCTGTTGGGCAGTCTCGCAGCAGGTTTCCTCTCTGACAAGGCTGTGGCCAAAGTGAGTTTGCATGTAGTACACATCTGAATGATTTTAAATAGTTATTGTCATACAGCTTTGATTACAAATGTTTCCCACAATATGGCAGAATCATCCTTCCTCAGCCCACGTGGTTTTTTTTTATTTGGGAAATGATGTAGACATTCTAAAAGCAGCTCAGTTTGCGTTTGTCTTCTGCAAATACACAATTAATAATAAGGTCATACATGTGTCACTGATTAGCACAGAGAGGGACTTTGCCTGTGAAAAGGGTGACATGTTCAGTGTCTATAGAGGGTAAAAATGTTAGGGGCAGCTCACTAACACGCTTAGCAGATTCCAATTCTCAGATGACGGATCAATTGTATCTGCTTTTTGGTTTGTGTGTATAGCCAGTAATCCCAACTTGTCTTTATATATTTCCTTATTTTGTACAGCAAGGGATGAGAATATATGGCAACCCCCGGCATTTCGTCCTGATCTGGATGATGGCTGGAATGTCTGTGTCCATGTACCTGTTCAGAGTCACAGTTACTCCTGACAGCTCAAAGGTATCTGTTCTTACACTGACATCTCAATTACTGATTCTTTAAAATGTAGCACACTGCACGTCAGACGTTGTCATCCACATCTTTCATTTGTACATTCAGGTGTGGATACTTTGTCTGGGTGCTGCTTTTGGTTTCTCCTCCTATGGACCAATAGCTTTGTTTGGAGTCATAGCCAATGAGAGTGCCCCATCCAACTACTGTGGGACATCACACGCCATTGTTGCCCTGATGGCCAACAGTAAGTTAATTTCAGAATACACATGGAGCCTGGCATACAGCAGGAATCACAACCTGTACTGGCTGTTACTAACTGCTAAATGAATTTAGACTAATACAAGTCTAGTTCTTAGTGATACTTTGACTTGGTTTTGTTTAGCCCCACAGCTCTCCACAGGACACAGGCTTGTCGAGCAAAATGTAAATAATGTGAATGTGAACTAAATCGAATTGTGTACTTTTTATATTCGCTAATCCTTGGAGTGAACTTTGTGTTTTCCTCAGTTGGTGGCTTCTTGTCAGGACTACCATTCAGCACCATTGCCAAGCACCACGGCTGGGAAATGGCCTTCTGGGTCGCAGAGATCACCTGTGGCGTCACCACTGTTGGTTTCTTCCTGCTGCGCAACATCCGAACCAAGATGGGTCACATGTCCAAGAAGGCAGACTAAAACGTCATCGCACCTGATCCTCTGCACCCAGAGGGAAACTGGATACTCTGAGCAGTCGTTGTGTTTTCATATTTTTCTTACTTGATTTTTATATCACAGTATTTTCTGTCAGTCTTACAGGACAAATACATAAATGGAAGTTCTTCGAGGTTCAGCAAAGCTGTTTTGGAAGGTGCTTTTCTACCTACAGTATTTACAGTCTATATGTCATCAACAAGGGAATGTAAATGCTGCACATTGTGTATTTCATGCAATGAAATGTGAACAAGAGAAAGGTTTTCTCTCAGAAGGCCACTTAAGTATTTCAATGTTAAAAGCACCAAACTAGAACCTGGTTTGGAAACTGGTATATTATATAATAGTTGTTTAAAAAAAATGACTTTGTAATATTGAATCATGAATGGAATTTCAAGACTTACTCGATGCTCATCTTTTATGTAGAAAGAAAATGTGAGGACTTCCTTTATGAAAAGCATCATAGGCTTGAATAAATGATACTTTGTTATGTTTTGACTGTAACTTTCATGGTTAATGCTCAATGCCCAGTAGACTACAGTTAGATCACTCATCAATTCAATATTTATGCAGCCAAAAAAGCAATAATTTTACAGCACAAGAAAAAAAGATATATCTAAATGTAGCATGATGGACTAATTGTGTGAAGGAAAGAGATCAACTGGAAAGGAAAAGTGTTTTAAAGAGGAAGAGCTTAATGGAAGTTCTGGCTCTGAAAAGAATGATGGACAAAAATTGAGACACTAAATTAATACAAGAAAGAGAAATCTGATAGTGTGCTCCTCGAATAGATAAAAAAATGGGCAGCCTGTTAACATCTGCTTTGGAGAGAGAGGAAGATGAAGAGCAGGTGGTGGGGGGAAAAACGAAGACCGAGGGAGAGACAGAGGAAAATGACAACTCCTTCATGGGAGGAGTGTAAGGTTGACTCATCTTCATCTGACATGATTTCACTCTGTCTATTAGAGACAGATACACAGTCAAAGCACACAACCACAGTGTCAGACTGCATTGGTTTTTAAAAGCTGTGAAGGGAGAGAAAATGGTGTTAATGGCTCCAAAATGCTTTTAACTCTCCTAAACAAGTCAGACTCTTGCCTTCAACATTTTGCTTTCACTGGTACAATTACATTATAAGGCATCCTGTTTGAAATTTAGGATGGCGCAAAATGGTTTCCTGCAAAGTGGAACTGTGCCATCAAAGGGAGGAAAGAGAAGGAAAGAAAAAGCGGTGTGACAGAAAACGTAAATGAAGTTTACTATCGAAATCTGGGTGAACTTTTTATGTGCATGTTGAACCGTACAAGTTGTATGAATGTCTAGCAGAATGTGTCATCCATAGAACAGCAAACTGTAGCCTAATATTTTTTTTGCAGAAACTTGATCATAACTCACAGGTCTGTGTCTTTCATTGTTAAAAACATCTGCTTTAAAAAAGTATATATATATATACACACACACACAGTATATATAGACAAATGGGGGGGCGTCTGCTCTGGCATTGTTTGAGTGCGAGAAGGTGTAGGCTACAAACACACAGGAGACAGGGAAGATATTTTCAACCTCAAAAAGGGGATTAAGAACAAGGTTAAGAACCCCTGTAATAAGTAACCTGCATGTCTTGCCCATGACCTCTTCTTCTCCTGCTATTACAAGTCACAAAGTCTTCTGTGGAAAAGTCCTATTTATAGTAGTTTTACAGTTCGCACTTTATGTTAAACTTTAGCATGGTCAGTGGTTCTTTTATACACATACGTTTCTTTGTCTTGAATGGTGTTTAAGTAATTGACATTATGCTTCATCAGAACTGCTTGTTGGATGATCAAACGGGAACACACACACACACACACACACACACTCTTTCTGTAACTTTTCAAAACTGACAATGTAATCAGACATTCCCATCCACTTCACGCTGTGACTGCTCAGCTGTGTGGACAGTGTTATCCCCATATTTAAACATTATCATGCATCCACTGTCTATAGCGGTCGATTTTGACTGTATCCACTCGGAACAGCTAAAAACATTTTTTGATTTCCAACACAGTTGGACAATATGTCGTACAGACTAGTTCTTTTCTAGCATAACCTGGCCCTTAAAGTGATACTCCTATCAGTCTAGAGTAGAAGCATGATTTGGTACATTGTTTTATAGTAACTTGGCAAGGTGTAATCCTTGTCTTCATATTCTACATATATGTGAAAAAAAACATGATATGAAATGTTTACATACAGTATGTTATTTAATCTTCAAGTATTTACAAAACATGATGTATTTACAATATGTTAATTGCCAGTCTGATACCAACCAGGAAAAAGAAAAAAAAACTCAACTTTAACCACAGGCATATGAAGTCAGTGAATCCGTTGTGGTTAGAAATTATAGAACGTTCAGTCTAGTCTTCTCTGGTTCACGATCCAGCTCCAAAGTTGCCAGCCTTCTCTGCGATCTCCAGTGCACCCTTGAGATTCTGATCAAAGAGTTCACACCTGAAAATTAAACGTTTAGAGTTAAGTCAGAGGACACAAGTAATTGGATGTGTGGGTGTAAGATATACAAAAAAACATCAGCGTGGAAGGCAACATCTTCTTGATTCTCTCTGTTACCTGATTGGCATTTCTAGAGAGTAGAACGGATTTTTGAGGGCAAAATCTGAGTATATCTCATAAATCTTCCTCAATAGCGCATCAATACCAGATTGACGAGGGTCCGCCAGCACAATGAACTTTATCCCTGAAAGAACAGAGATGGAACAGGCCAGTGAGAAAGACGTCAGTTTAAAATCACTTCTATAAACATACAATAAGTAGGTCACATATTTCACCTACAGGTCGCAGGTCTTTGTTTCACCTACAGTAACACCCGTTCATACTACTAACCTGTAAGTGTCTGGAAGCAGTGGAGTTTGAAGACGTCCGTTTCTAGCATCTCAATCCCTGAACTGCCAACTTCAGGGGACAGCTGTGAACCTATAGCAAACAACCTGGGGAAAAAGGCAAAACAGGCAATTTACTGCTAGAGGCAGGGATCCATACTGATTGGTGCCAAAACTAACTTTAATGAGCGGATCCAATATCAGCCATACATGACTGATCCACATGAGGCTAATGCGTCACAATAAATAGTAGGCCTTTACTGTAGGCCTTGTTTTAAACAAGGAGCCAAGCACATGTGAAGTGCTGGTGTTTGAACGACTCCTCTTACATACATATGAATTCAGGAGTAGTTACAGCCTCTCTACTGTACACATACAAGAGTGATCGTAATCAGTTCCAGAGCACTGGTATTGGAGGTTTACTCAGTCTTGGCACATACCCTGCGTTTGGGTAAAAGGGTAGAAAAAGATGGATTGATGTGTCATTTGTAAGGAACACATCAGACTCAGAGCTCTCTGCCATTGCCTTTCTTTACAGGATATTGCTCCTGACAGCAGGAAATAAGAATGTATACATTTACTAAGCGGGTTCCCAGTGTTTCCACACAAAAAGGTAAAAAGTCAGAATTACAAAGAGAAACCAGAGTGCTGAATTTGGCTCAGTGACAGTTCAGTAGGCTGAATGCTTGCCAGAAATGTATTAAACATGGATATGACTTACGAGTGAAACATAGATGCCAGCATCAGCTTCTCGTTGGAGCTCAGGCGAGCCCGTCCAAAGCGGATAGACACTGGGTAGTTTGAGGCATCTTTTAAGTATTCAAGGATGTCCTTTCCTTCTGCTGTGTTCTTGCCAATCACATCAGCTCCATTGATGGACAGCACTGCGTGGCCCACTGGAGAACGACAACACACGCACTTAAGTTTCAGAAAATACAGTTTAAAGCCATGCAGCCTAGATGGTCAAATACTTACACCACAGAACATCCTATGAGATTTTTTTGTAGCGTCACAAGTCCAGTTTAAATAATAACTGTTATTCAGACACACTGCAGAGTAGGAACATTTTAGCTAGAACACAGCATTACTACATTAGCTTTCGTCTGTTTTGTTTAGGTCTTTTAGGTGTGTAACACCCCCAGCTAGCTAGGTTAGCTAGTAAAATGAGCTAACGATCTGCTCTAAAACGTTACCTCTGATTCCGTCCCGCTGTCCAAACGACACGATGACTTTTTCATCGTGGTGCTTCAGCACTAAATCTAAAGGATAGCTAAACGTTTTCTCAGCCTCCGCTCTCGGGACATAATTGTCGTATTGGTAAACTAAACCTCCAGCCTTGTTCACAACATATACACTGTAGATCACCATCTTTGCAACGTCCTCCTGCCCGGCTGACAAACGTGTCACGTGTCCTCAGAGTGTCAAAAAGAGGAACAAATCTAAACCAGCTTCTCTATATCGTTTTTAACTTAGTATTACTCTCAACCTACCGCTGTGCATGTTATGCAGCAGTTTTGTAAGCCAATAAGAATTATAAAAATGAATTAAAACTATAAAAACACAGGAGAACTCAATTTCCCATAATGCCCTCTTCCATTTCCGCATATACGGGTTGTCTAAGGGGCTCTTGCACGGGTGAACTTCCTTTCGCTCCGACATCTTGACGAGGAAACATGGTGAGGATAGTTATTACACGTTTTGTCGAAACAAACTAAAAATGCTTCATCTTTCTGTGACATATCTCGAGTTGTAATTGTTCGGATGATCTGGCGGCAGTAACGTGCTTTATTATGCTGCCATAAGAGTGTGCGGATGAAGCAGATAACAGTTAAATGTTACTCATTTAGCAGCTGGCTAGTTAGCTAGCTAGTCTGCTAAACCCACCATGCTTTCATGATTTACAGCGGTTACAGAAAATGAACCGAGCAAAGTTGTCACTAGTAATTCGGTATAAATGATAATTATACACAAGATGCGACACAGATAGCGATTACAATGTTAGTTTATTGTAACAATGAGAATAACCAGCTATGCTAATAGTTGTGCTAGAAACGCTGTCAAAGACGCCGACAAGGCCATCCCATGCCGTCCAGCAGAGTTAACCTCAGGCTGCTGGGTGTTTCCACCAACCCCGCAATTTTTTTTAATAGAATACCTTTAGTGCAGAAGGATCGTAATACACGGGCATTGAAGCATGTGCTGACATCTCCCACATGCCGTCCCAGTCTGAGTGTGATACAGCGTGGAGGATTAAGTGTTGCCTTGTTCTGGTTTCAGCCTCCCAAGCAAGACAAGAAGAAGGATACTGGGAAGTCCAAGAAGGACAAGGACCCAGTCAACAAGTCTGGAGGCAAAGCCAAGAAGAAGGTATGCAGTAATTAATAATCATCCAGAGTTGGTCCTTCACATGTGATGTGGTTGCTGAATAATTGGTGACCAGGTGCAATGTAGAGCTTTCCTCATCACTGAAACCTTTCTCTCTCATTCTGAGCAGAAGTGGTCCAAGGGAAAAGTGAGGGATAAGCTCAACAACTTGGTCCTCTTCGACAAGGCTACCTACGAAAAGCTGTACAAAGAAGTTCCCAACTACAAGCTCATCACCCCCGCTGTTGTGTCGGAGAGGCTGAAGATCCGTGGCTCTCTGGCAAGGAACGCCCTCCAGGAGCTGCTTTCCAAAGGTGAATTTTTTTTATTTTTTTTATCCATAGCCGCAAATGGTGCTCACTGGACCAGAAGCAGTACCTGCATCCAAATCAAATGTATTTGAGTTTGAATTTAACACATTAGGAGATAGTCAGGATAGTTAATTAGAGAAAGGACCTTAACAACCCCTTCTCATCTGTTGAATAATAAAGTGTTTGGTTCTCTTAAATGACCAAAATATTTGCACATATCTAGACTTTAATGCACTGCTAATATATTAGATATTTGCTGCTTAAGTCTCAGATTGTGTCCGGGTAGTCTGGACAGGATCTGCTTAGTTTGTGTTCCAACAGTTATATTGGTGAATAGCTGATTTTTGGTCAAAGGAGCAGAACAATAAGGAGATTGCGTGTTCACAATAGATATCTTTCTGAAAAAGTGGATCCAGGGGAAGTTGGAGCTCTGAATTAAGTGTTTTGAGTAATCTCATCTGCCTGTAAACATGTACTTTTTATTAGGAGTGGAGATGGTACTGATGCTAGAAAACAGCATCAATAACATATTCTGACATCCACAACATTGTGATGCAACATTAAGCTCATCCCATCAATATGTCCCACAGTCATCAGCACTGCTTTCGGCTGCATCTACCATTTATAAATGCTTACACACTACATATCCATGTCGTAGTATTTTTGTTGCAGATTCATCAGTTGTTCCTAAATTACAGCGATTTGCATGGTTAATATGCAGCAAGTATCACTGAGCATAGTTACACGTTGTGTTTGTCATTTCTTTTTTAGGCTGTCCTCATTAAAAAAAAAAGTCCAAGTACAAATTGCTTGATGAAAGCAAAGGGTTCAACAGTGAATGCTGTCTAAATGTAGTACTTCCTTGCATCCCACCAGATGTGATGCTTGTTTCAGTTGTTTTATATATGAAATCTGTCACGTGTAACAAGAACTGCTGTCTGTCTTAGATTAATCGTGTTAAAAATGCGGTGAAGTAGGAATGGAAAATATATGCGGTTACACATCACACACAGTGACATTGTCTCATGGGCATTCACAAGCCCATTGCCTGCTTTGTGTCACCATAACAAATAAACTAAAAACTGCATTCATCTATGCAAAGCTAGTTTTCACGGACTGCAGTTTTTTCTACGATAAATTAAACCTGTTGTCCCACATGTGGCGCATCATCTGCAGGTGGGCTACAGTATGACTGTATTTATGGGTGCTAACCTTTATTGGATAAACTGCAGGAATGAATTTTGCTATAATTTCTGCAATGACTACATAATTGCATACCCGAAACACGTATGTTGCCGGTGTTTACACTTAATTCTTACAATAAAAATATCCAAATGGACCTGTAAACTGTGACATTCAGCTAGTTTGACTCTTTCACTGTGACATTTGAAATTGTGTGGTGTACATCCCCAGGTTAAATGAGTTGCAGTACATGTTAGGTGAACAATGTGTGGATGACGATATGCTTACGGAGGACATGGTCCTGTTTTTCTCTTCCAGGTATGATTAAACTGGTGTCCAAACACAGAGCGCAGCTGATTTACACACGTAACACCAAGGGTGGCGATGAGGAGGCAGCGGCAGCAGCAGCAGAGAAAGCATAATCGGGTACGATGGCAGAAACTGTACAACATCATGCATCTTATCTTGTTTTTAGCTGCATCCACTGACCCACATCCTTTTGTCTTTCAGGTTCTCCTATTTGCTTCCTTAATGGGCTGTTTGTAATAAAAGGTGAATAAAAAATTGTAATGACAAAATCTCAGCTGTGTATTTGTTTAGTGGTCGTGTCAGTTAACTGGTTTACCTGCTATGTGGCAATTTCTATAACCAGGTATGTGGGGGGGCACTTTATTCATAACATCAAAATGAACTTAGTTTTTAGGTCCAGAGTTAATCAGCATCAAACAGACCATGGCTATTAAGGCTGAGAGTGTTAAGTGAGTGATGGCACTAGTAAAAGCAGGTGGCACAATAGTTTTGTAGATCCACACACACAAAATATCTAAGTGGGGGTTCATACCTAAAAGTCTGGTTCCTGAATGGCCTGAGGCTGGTGCATTGTTTAAATTTTCCAACTGATCCGGATTGCACTTGCACAAAAACTCTGTCAATTTTATGCAAATACCATGTAGTGGGAATATTTGATTAATGGTCATACAATCAACGGGTAAAAAGACGAATATCTTACATCAAGGAGCACCTTCAGGTTGGTGATGGTCTGGAGCGTAATCAGCATTTAGAGGATCATGCATATAAATGACCCTGAAGACTGGGTATTAAATAAAATGTAGGCATTTCCAGGAAGAACTCTGCATCAGGTGGTGTTCAAATCATACCATGATTGCATTTGTCTAGTAAAGACTATTCATAAAAGCGGCTTATATTTACAGAATCCATATTTATCTCGTTGACTGAATCAATGCATATATCCCTAACTGCTACATTAAAAAAAGTTGAATTTATCAAAACGTGCTGACCGTATCAAAATATTCATATAATTTAGCCTATTCTATATTAAATATTGTCAGTGAATGTCTTTCATATTTTGATTGTAATTTTATTTTTTTTTCCATTCTCTATATTCATACTGAAAATCAAGATCAAACGAGCATTTGCCCTTGTGTTCCAGGGGAGGTTTCTGTCCTCCCTGAGCTCGCCTTAGGACACTTGTGTGACAATTTGACAGATGTACCGCCTCACCTTCTGTTCTGACTGTAACAACACTGTCTGAACTGATCTGTGTGAAGTTGTGCACATACTCCCCATAATCACAGATTTCTTGCCTCCTCGCACCTGAAATAAGCTATATGTTGGGTATACAGTAAGTAAGAGAAATAAATATGGTTCATGGTCTGGAACAAATGTCCCCCAGTGTACAATAATGGTCATGAAATTGTCATAATGAAAACAAAGTTGCAAAACATGCCATAATAAAAGCAAGAGAAGAGGTGCTCCTTGGATCTGACAGTGATATAACACAAAACGTGCTGTGGGCAAATGCAGTTCAAAAGAAGGGGAATGCATTCCTCCTAAAATAAAGGTCAGAGGGGGGTAGAGTAGCCAAAGACTGTACTCAAGTAAAAGTACTATTAATTTGCAAAAAAGTAGGCTACTCAAGTAAAAGAGGACATCAAAATAAATAGTTAATAGTTAGAGTACAAAAGTATTTACTGAAAAAATTACTTTAGTAATGAGTAACTTAAAAATTAAAAATTAAATAAAATAAAGAAACCAAAAATGGGTCTTTTATTTGATGTGGATGTGACTGGAATTATTTCAGCTACTGATGGTCTTTCTCAGGTAAAGGTAAAGAAGCGAAGTCATCATCATCTGATTAGATAACCTGCCACATTTACACCAGGACAATCCCAGTCTGTAGCTCTCAAGTGTGATTACAAAATACTAAATTAATATAATAGTCTGTTAAGTACGCCAATAAGTAAAGATTGTTTAAAAAATATACATTCTGTCTAGTCTCCTATATCAAATTATAATTTAATAAAAATGCTGTTTCATCATTTATTGCCTATTTAATGCAGGTGTGTTCACTTCTTCACTTTTTCCTGAGGAAGATCATCTGTGGTTGAAACATTTGGTCTCTCTTCATCAGGCTACACCACTGAACATGAGTAGTTAAATGCACACAGCTCCTACACTGTTAGCTTGAATATTTACATCATGACAGAAAGCAGGAGTAGTGAAGCATAACGTGTGTAGCTATTTGTTATTAAACATATTAACATTAACATAAGAGACACTGCTCTCCGTCCGCTTAGTGTCAGCACTGATGTACTGACTTCACAACAGGAGCCCGCTGCACTATGCACTAAATTTTTCATCTGTAAATATGAGCTGCTAGCACTATTTGAAAGCCATACTACCATCCTGTAGCTTCAGCTATTTTTCTGCTCTGGCCAGAGTCATGTGGATGTGCGACTGTGGCAGAATAACAAAGGCACCTACCTTTTAACAGATCATAGCATAGCAAAGAAATTAATAAAGGTTGCACAATGAATGTATCCAAATGTAACTTAAAAACATAAAAGTAATGATTTTTCTAAAATATATATATAAGTAAGAAAAGCATTAAAACTACCCTGACAAATACAATTTACTCAAAAGGGTCACTTGAATACTAATGGAGTGAATGTAATTTGTTACTATCCACCTCAAAAAGGTAGCTTTATTATTGCAGCTAAATGAAATGTGATCTTGTTTTATTCATCTAGTCATTATTAAGGCTTTCACTTTTATACTTCAACAAAGCAGCCTGCCTTTGTTTTGTCTAGATGGGTGGGAACCCTGAAAATGAAAAGCTGATTGGTTTGGGGTATTTTGAAAATGCACTTTCACATTGTGTGGGTGGGTTCATGAACCCAATCTAACATACAGCCGACAGACATCCAACGCTTTCCAGGCGTTATTCTGTTTAAAACAGCACACTTGGGATGATTGCTCTGACTTGTGCTACTGCATGCATTCACACCTCATTTACTGCGCATGTTGAGTTCAATTACTTGTCTGCATCCTTGCTGATGAAAGGCCTCGGTTCTGCACCTACACCATGTACCTAGTGTTGTCATCCAATAAATTCAAGGGGACATCCAGACTCAACTGATCTTGTTTTCAGTGTAAGATGGATCGTTTCTAACTCGGTGCAAGAGACGTCTTCTACTTGTCTATTAAAAGCTATGGGCAGTGAAAGGTTATGAGATATTGATGAGAAATGACACGAAATGAAGCTATCTCCACTGTCAGATGTCTGCTCTGGGCATGAAAGACACAGGAGCCTCGTGATGGATGCTGTCAGGCGTCCCTTTGTCACTGCACAGCATTACCTCGAGCAGCAACAGCAAAACACACTGCAGGATGCGTGTCACTGACAGATGCAGCACCTATCAGCTCCTCCAGCATCAGCCTGTGAGAACACAAAGACTGTGGAGGTGACTTCTCACTGTTACAAAGCCACGAGTGAGGGGCTTTTTAACAGAGCAACTGCCATGCGTTGGAATATTTGGTGCGCTTTTCCTCATCTCCATCAGCCAAACTGAATTCTTTTATTAGTCTGTCTGTTGTCTGGGGTTTGGTACTTGTTCTGCATCTAAGTGCCTGTGGTGTATAAAGGCCAAGTATTAACTTGTGAGTGGTTAATTAACTATACACAAGCATTTGTTCTTCACTTTATTAGAAATTAAAGGTCTTGTATAGTGCTGGTTAACTTGTAAATACACATTGCTGTGTTCTTGTCATATAAGCCTTGCATGTAGAGACAAGCATAAACAATTCTCACTCATGTAATAGACAGCAATTTCTGCTGTCTAATCTCTTTAACACTTGGACAATGGTGTCTGTGTTGCTCAGAAAACCCATCCTATGGAACTCACATTCCTATAATTTTGGGTAATGCAATCAGTTCTTGTAATCATGTTTGATACTTCTAAATATGTGTGCATTTAGATAGTTGTGTACAAATACATCACGTTTTTAAAGCCACTATGTACCTACACTTGTGTTTTCAGTTATTTACTTGTCTTCTGCACAGGTTGAAGGTGGGTGGATCTATGCTGGTAATTTTGTGAGGTCACCATGTAAAGGCACGGTCACATTGACCTTTGTCCCACCCTAAGATGTTATGTCACAATTCCATAGAGGGTAATAAATAAATGTTAAGCGGAGCATCACAAACTGTAAACAGTGTGTGAGATAGATGCTGCAGTTTGTTGTGCGATGTTGTACAAACCAAGGCCACTGACAGAGCAGGAATAATAACTTCTTCATGTACAGTGTGGATATGGTGCAAATCTGCGAAGGTGAACCACTGACACACCTTCCTGCATTTGTCTGTTGTATGGGCTTCAGTTGATGGACAGATACTGTAGTGAGGGAGTGTAATGTGACTACTTTTAAGGTGTAATATGTTCTGCAGCTGCAGCAAAGCTCACAGTAGATTCACGGAGACCTAATCAAGCTCAGTGTGTGCACACCTACACAATCCCAAGAAGCGGTCTAATCAGGCACAATAATTAAAATCACCTGTGTGGGTTACCCTGAGGCAGAGCCTTTAAAATGATTTATAATATTTCGTAATGTTAAACAAAGGTAGAGAGATTTTTTTTTAAATGACACAAAGAGCTGTGGCGCATAGTCATTAAGTCCAGCAAGAACAGAGAGTTTGTACATCCAAATCAGTAAGAAAAACACAGGTTTAACTAATAATATTAATGATGTCTGAATTCCAGGTAAGCCACGACAGGGAGCCAGCATGTAAAATACCAGGACCGTGAAACTTTCTCACATTAATGGAATGCCGTTGTCATTATTTTTATCAATTCCACATGTGCTTTTCCTACTATGACATGTAAAAATAGTCCTTTTTCACAGCAGACATTTTGGCATGTCATAGCAAGAAAAAGCACAGGTGCAATTGATAATGTTAATGAAGACTGCATTCCATTAACGCGAGCGAGTTTCAAGGTCTTGTGCATGCTGGCTCCCTGTCTTAGCTCACTGGGACACTTGATGGAAAGGAACTATTGTAACCAAAACTCGTTTCACCTTTGCTTTTCCTGCTATGAGAAGTCAAAATGTCTGCTGCGAAAAAAAGGCATTACTAAATGTTAAAAAATGGAAGAAATGTAAAAAAACAAAAAAAAACTTCAAAGTCCATCACAAAAAGTCATAATTCTCCTTTCATTCAGTTTTGTATATTCCTGGACACACAGAGGTGACAGACATTTACCTTGTACCTTTAATTTGTCATTTCAGTATTTCTTTTCCAGTGTGTAATTTGTGGCTTCTGGACTCTTTAACCTGTCACCAGCAATGTCAATTAAGTCATCATCAACGGGTGTTTCAGGCAGCCTCCCCCGGTGAGGTTGCCGTCTTCTGAATAGCTGCTGGTCTAAAAATCTCACAGAGCCACTTTCTAATATAATCATATAATATAACAATTTATGTAAATGTTTTCTAATAAAATGAGTTACCCACAATTCACACATCTTTGTTGTTGAACGACAAAATGAGGAGAGTCAGGAGTACGTTAAGACTTAATAACAGCATGAATTGTGTATATTGTCCTTGTATTGAAGGATGACCTTGAGTTTGTTTACCTAAAGGACACATTAAGTTCTGAAATTTTCCAATTTCCATTTCAACAACTGCAACCTTCCCCCCCCCCGTCTATTAATACGCTGTATTCGCTGCTTGTCCCTCTGACTTACTAACTGCCCTCTTCAAGGTCCGCCCCTACTGCAGACTGTCACCCAGCAGGGCTATCTGAAAGACCAGCTTAACTTTATGTTGAGAACCATGACCGAAGTCTCAAATTAGACTGGACTGCATGGAGCCTTGGGTTGGGCAGTGAAAGTGACTCACTGGTATGCATGACAAACAACTGCCTCTGTTCATTATGGATATTTCTCTGTGTGTGTGTGAGAGAGAGATTGAACCTCTCCACTGATGTTTAATTCTCCTCCCTCCACCTCCTCCTCTTCCTCTCTCTGTTTCTGTCTCTCTCTTGTACACGCTGATGATATTCAAATGTCTGCAGGAAGGCTAAAAAGGCACAGCGAGTCAGAGGGAGAGAGTCAGAATGGGTATGCAGGCGGGTGGGAGCGCCGTCTCGTGGTGATCAGTCAGAGCGCTTCCAGAGCTGGATTTATGGCACGCAGCTGTTGAGTAGCTGACAGACGTGTGAGGAGCTCAAGCGCGGCTGCTTCTCAAGCTGCTCCTACCAGCTCAATCTCTGCTTACTGCAGCGTAGGAAGGAGGACTTCTGTGCCTCAACACACAACGGTGAGTAGACTGCCTTTTCTTTCACAAATAGTATTTATTTATTTCACAACTTCCTCTTAAGGTCACATTCAAGTGTTTTATAATGTCAACCTTTGACCTAATGTACAATTTCTTAAAATGTTTTCTTCCTTTGTGACCCCTGTTGTGCTGTGATTACTTTGTAGTCCTTCCAGAAGCAGTTTGGCATTTGGAAAACATGTTTTCTGGTTGCCAGCTGTCTGCAGTTTTACCATACATGGCCAGCAATATTGGACTACAAAAATAACTTTGTGAAAGAGCACCTCACTAATGTTTTGTGTCTTATGAGCATTACTCCAGTGTCTTATCATTTTCCATTAGTTAGACCTATGTAGTGTGTGTGTTAGTGTGTACGTTCTGTGCTGCCTTAAAAAATATATAGTTCACTATGCTGTGTCCTATTTTTAGAAGTTGAGGCATCACAGCAGAGTGGAGACATGACGCTGGCCACTTACTACACAGACAGATAGACAGGCAGAAACTACAGCCCTGTGCGTCAGCTTTCGATCGCTCCACACACCGAGCTCCCCTGACAATTCCTCTGCGAACTTCCTCCAGCTAAACAATGTGAGCTTTCCTAACTCACTGAAACTTTTGGCGTTTGGTCAGGTCAGAGGAAGCCTGGATTCTCCATTACAGCTGGACCCTGTGGATTTTAGTTCAGCCCGGCCTTCACTCTCATCCAGAGGTCAGAGTGAGAGAGACAGACAGGTGAAGAGCATCACTTGTTTAAGGTTATTTGACCGGGTGCCCAAGGATAAATAGCCCTGATAACAGTGCTGAACCAAGGACTCTTCATCTTTGGGAGCAGGGGACTTTGTTAAAGTTCTGTAATGCTTTAGAAACTTCAGCTTTAGTCTCTCCTGAGGTATGGGATAGATACTTGTAAACTCTTAAAGTTTTAGATAATCTAATTTAAAACATGTTTTCCATCACCAGGAAACTTAAAAGTAAAGGCATGGACCTGATAAAACCTATTTTCTCTCTAAGCCTGTAAGGTCAGATTGTATTTCTGATCATAAAGTCCCATAAGTTGAGCATTCCTGGCACATGAGACTGTTCGGGGAGTGTTTATTTGGGTTGCTATGGAAGGATCAGGCTGTGGCTGAAGGGCTGGTGGTAACACTGAAAATGGAGCTGGAAGACGCCTTTAAAGATTGAGCCTCAAAGCTGCTTCCTCCTACCACTGCTGCTAGTACGGAGGCCTCTTAATGCCTTCATTTAACATAATTAGACTGGGTTAGATCAAACTCATTAACATCATAATGAACAATTCCAGAGCTCTTTCATCTTCACCGCTCATTTGCCCAAAGTGCAGAGTGGGCTGATCAACATGTTAAAACACAAATGATCTGTCGTTGTTAATAGGTAGGAATCGGTCAATTTAACTGATACTGATTTGTCTTTGTTTGATAAAACCCAACTTCATCCATGAACATACATACTGAATGAGCATACACTCTCACTTAAAGTTGTTATTGCTCTACTGTGTTGCTGAGATTAAATATGTCATTATGACTCAATCTCACAAGTACTATTGATAAATGTAAATGAAGCGAGAAAGAAAAAACTAGCATTTCACATTACTTACTCCATATCAACCTTTGCTCTCTCTAGAAATTGCACAAAGTCATTTTTACCTCCTTTTCAGGCAACATTCATTTGTTTGGTTGTGAAATAAGGGCTATTTATCGCAGCTGGGATTGCAGGCCATGTGACATGTCCTGCAGAGAGGCGGCTTTTGTCACAGAAATACTCTCAGCCTTTTATGCCAACACATCCCCTCCCTGTGTTTACTGCAAACAGCAAGAAATGAGCCACACAGACTATAGGCCTTTATTATCGTCTCCCTCTGAAACATCTCCTCCTGGACCTCAGAGAGCTCAGACCCCCGCAGTGAGCACGTTTGCTTATATTCATCACTCCTAGCTGTGAGGGCAAAACGATATTTTCTTCATTATTTACATAAACATAACTGAATTTGTTCATACAGTATGTCACTGTAGACTGTCAGCCCTTTTCTACTTATATCTTCATCTCCACATGGAGTCACAGTGGGATGACGCGCCCGGCGGAACATCTGTTAATGTCAAGGAAGAATTACTTTTTGGTTTGAAAAGTGGCTCCTTTAACATGATGGAAAACGCCTTTACTGTGGCAGTAAGGCGCAACATCTGTCCCATATGTAAATGAGCCTGGCTACTGCAGTCTGAGCCCTGTCAGCTTCAGACAACACTGCTGAGACAACCTAGATACATCAGATAAACTTTCCCATAAAGTTGAGATGTGGCAGCTGTAAGGTATTGATGACAATTTGGAGCAGTTTGTTGCTTGGAGAAAGCTGCAGTATGTCTTTGTTTCTGCCTGTTATGGGTGTTTTATTGACTCTGAATAATCTACAACCGACAGCATTTTCTTCAGGCCTTGTCCTCCGCTAAAGCAGATTTCTCTGCAGCCTGTGTCTGGTTATTAATTCAGGTTATTCAATAGAAAGTGACACGACTCCTTTCTCCGCAGCCCCGTGAGGCTGTGTGGTCCTTGGCTCCACTGTGCTCAAACACACACTCCCCGTGTCGTTGAGGAATCTGTCCCTGAGGGTACCTCTTGTCACTGTGTCAGATGGTCCAAATGTGCTGACTGGGGGCCTCGCTCGCAGGTTCTGCAGTCCTGCAGTTGGAGCTCCGTCTGTTCTCATGTGAACCGAATACGGAAAATTGTTGTGAAATGAATTGGAGTGTTTAAAATATGCTGACATTCATCTCCTTGGCTAGTGTCATTGATAGCTTGCTGCTGTGTAGCCAGGAAGTACAGCCTTTGCTCTGTAATAAGTGGCATTCTCCTTTTGCCTTTTTTTGAAAAACTGCTGGAAATTCCATCAAGTTTTCCGTTGGCCAGATATTCACTGCGTCTGTGCATGAGTTCTGGGCTCATGAATTATACTGTGCGCTGTGTGAACAAGGCATTGTATGGCGGTGCAGTTAGGCAGTGTGTATGTTAAACAGCTAAACTTCCAACTAAACAGAGTGGATTCAGATTCAGAGCAGAAATCCACCTCAGATCAAACCCATAATGATCTGTTGTTTACCATCTTTTATATATCACAATATTGTATGGATTCAAGATATTGATGTCTGAATACTTTCTCCAAACTTCTTAAAACCTGCATTCATGGTAATAATGTAGATGGCCACAATTTTATGAAATGGTTCTCCTACAAAGACCCAGAAAGGGAAAAAATGAAAATAAAAGTTGGTGTAAAACCGCATAAGTGCAAATGTATGTTACTAGTCACTGTCACTGCAGACTTTACGGACAAACTTAAAGCTGCAATTATATTAAATATTCGTATATTAACAAAGAGCGAAAGAGGTCGTTTTTAGTGACAAACACAGGAAATTGTAGCCCATCTTTGCAGTTCCCCTCAGTTGTAGGCAGATTTTTAGCAGCTTTCCGATAATAATTTTTTGTTGTTCTGGCCTACAATGTTATTGTTTTGGCTCACTCTCACCGGTGTTATATATATATATATAGTCAGTTTCAACTGGCAGACAGATATTTTCATCAAGTAAGTTCTAAAAACTCACAGTCCACTACCTGCCCAGCTCCAAACAGCAGGCAGACAGAGTTGGCAACTAGCTGGTAAACATAGTGGAGCATTTAGCAGCTAAAGAGCCAGATATTTCCCTCAGGAGTTGGTGGAGAACAAAAATGGATATAGAATAGAGAGAAGAGAGTGAATATTGAAATTATATCTGTCAGGTGGCCAGAAACACAACTCCAAATGAATATTAATGTTGCTCCGTAACTGGATGTGTAAATAGGCAACAGCGTTGCATTCATAATTGCTTCCAAGTGGCCAACAAAAAAAAACAGTTATTGCAGATTTAAATATGTTATTGGTTTTGTCAAAATAATTATCTGTGTAACAGCAGAGAAGAGTAATCTCTGTATGTGGTTTTTTTTTTTGTCTTTTTAACATCTGTGTGTCTTTGTGTGTTTTGCCCAGCCTGCAGATGGTGCGGGAGCAGTATGTCACCACCACCCAGGGCAGCAGCGTGCCCAGGCCGGTGCCCGACCACGTCTACAACATCGGCATCTATGGCTGGAGGAAGCGCTGCCTCTACCTGTTCATCCTGCTGCTCATCATCATCCTGGTAGTCAACTTTGCCCTCACCATCTGGATCCTCAGGGTGATGTGGTTCAACACGGTATGGATGACTCACCTTGGCAGTTTGTATTTTCAGCTGGGATAGTTTTCAACTCCTTTCTTTCCCCAGGTTCCATGCTTTTCTTTATATCTTCAGCATGACTTATCAGTGTCACTTCCTTGTTCCTAATAACTTCCACATTGACCCAATATTACCTGTGTAGTTATCAGTGGTACTAATATCCATCATTAAGTTATACTTTGCTGTCTAAACAGGATAATTTATTTGTTTATATGAGTCTTGTCAGCCTTTTGTCTCAAGTCCAGATGGCAACTGTGGATTTATGCAGATGCAGAAAAGGGGACAAATCTACACACACATACACACGCACTGTTGTGTGAAGTGCCTGCACAGCTAAAGCAGCTGGCTGGTTTATTCTCAGATGGCCTTAAGTCCTACAGGGAACATTGCTAAGTGTGTTTCAGACTTGGAAACCTGTGAACCTTAACCTGCCACGTTTTGGATTCATACCTTGCAGATAAAACCATCCAGTGGATTTACAGTTAATTATTCAGCTTCACTTGCAGATTGAGTTTTCCCTCTTAAAACTGTCTTGCTGTGTTTTCATCTGAATGCACATGTCTTCATTTTGTTGTAGGAAGGGATGGGACACCTACAAGTAAACTCAGATGGGGTCAAACTGGAGGAGGGCGAGTCCGAGTTTCTTTTCCCCGTCTACGCTGAGGAGATCCACTCCAGAGAAGTAAGATAATCAGGAACACACACTTTTCCTGCATCTCTCCCCACATTCTTCTTCACTTTGCTATACCTCTTTTCCTCCCTCTAACTTCTGCTTTCCTCCCTCTTCTGTCTTCTCTCAAGCTAACACTCAAACTACTGTTTGCTCAGCTAAGGTGCCTGACAGCGTGGCCATTATTTCATCTCACTGTTTACCAGACTTGATTGTGAGTTGGATCTGTGCTGACTACATGTCATGTTATCATCTAAATCTAATCCCTTGCAGAAACTTGAGCAGTTTTTATCCAGCTGTAGCGAGTGAATTGCATATTTCTTTTTTTGGGAGATGTGTCAGAACAAACTGGATTTGGCAGTCCCACACAGTGCACGTGGTGGTGCAGAGAGCTCCCCATTAACCTCAGGGATATTTGTGGTGGAAAGTAGTTTATGGCCAGCCTGCTAGCAGCAGATGGGAACACTTTGTTGCAGTTGTTTACATGTTATGGCTTTTCTTGCTCATAGCAGCAATTTTTTTTTTGCATTCTTTCTTGTTTATGTGCCTCATTAAAAAGGCAATGTATTCCTCATTTATGGATGGACACTTTCTCTAATGTATTCTATAGATTTCTAATTAGATTCAGGATTTAGTGAGCCACCGCTTTGCTTCGACATGAAAGTTATTTCTTGGATAAATCTTTCTTATAGCTGCAAAGGAACAGTGTTAATTTATTGCTAAGGCTACCTCATTTAAACATTTTCTGAACGTTTGCGTTTCTGTCATGTCTCACCTAATTACCAGGTGTCATATCTTCTGCTAAAATCTGTACAACATTCTAATAAGGCACCATTCACAAAAAGTGTGTAAGCTGTAACTAATGGTTTTACTACTGCTTAATAAATCATTTGGGTCAATATCACTGTATGGTGCCTTTTGGTGTCTCTTATATAAAAAATTTATTTGCCATGTTAACTTAACATAGAATCACTATGGTAGTTTTGGTTACATTAGGCTTAAGTTTTTATATTCATAAAAAAGCATTTCTTGGCTCTATAGAGACATTTTCTAGATTTTATTTTGGAGAATGCGTACTATTTTGCTATGTCCCATCCATTGCTCATTCAGTTTCAGTTTCAGAGAGTAATATATAGTCAAATCATAATATCTTTAAGTTGTTGTTGACAGGTTGCTGAGCCTAACATGTAATGTAACCCTGTCAGTGTAAAATAAAAAACTGAAGCTCAAAATGTCCACCTTGACGACCACTTAGGGTTAGGCATGTCCAACTGAAACTGGTGCACATGTACGTGATAGGCTGGATATATCATTCATTTGCAGTTAATTTTGAAATTTATAGAATTGTGATATTATGGTTTATAGAATTTTAAAGTTAAATAAATGGTTCACTTTTATATTTTGTCATGCTTTGCGCGTTCTGCTTTGTGTCCGACCCGTCATGTGGTGGTCCACCCTGTAATCTTGACATTTTAAAATAATAATTTAATAGTTCAATCATACCATATATAATCCATTGTGTTTAAAAGCTAAATGTGGGAGGGGAAATAATATGCAAATAAGAAACTGCATCTTAATATCACAGTTTTCTCCAAATAACAAAAAATCAGGTTGTGAAACATCTGTCTCTGGTTGGTGTATATCCTCCTCCAGCAGTACACTTATAAATGTTAAATAATAAATTTTAGGCACTCTCAGGAGAAGTTTGTCAACTGACTTGAGCGAACGGGTGGGTGTATAAAGATGAAGCAGCTCAGATAAATAAGGGGGGGCAAGGTCATTCAAGGATTTAAAAGTCAGTAAAAGAAGTTTAAAATCGATCCTAAATTGAATGGGTAGTCAATGGAGTGAGCGTAGATCTGCGGAGATGTGTTCATATTTACGTGTTCACATTAGAAGACGAGCTGCAGCATTTTGCACCATCTGGAGACGGGCGAGAGACGATCCATTCATCCCAACGAAAAGTGCATTGCAGTAATCTAATCTAGTAGTCACAAAGGCGCGTATAACTGTCTCAAAATTATGCTTAGAAAGAATCGGTTTCAGCTTAGCCAGCTGTCTTAATTGAAAGAAACTAGATTTAACCACTAACCCAACGTGTTTATCCAGTTTCATATCGGCATCAATTTTGACATACTGAGCTAGGGGGCCTAGATCGAGGTGAGGAGGGGAGTGAGTCCCAGAGGTGCCGTTAAAAACCATCACCTCCGTTTTGTTTTCATTAAAACTTAAGAAGTTGAGAGCCATCTAAGCCTTTATGTCCTCTAGACATGCAAACAATGGTCTGAGAGTGTCATCCTTATTCAAAGGTACATAGATCTGGCTGTCATCTGCATAACAATGGAAAGAGATGCCATGTTTCCTAAGTATTGAGCCAAGTGGGAGGAGAAAAAGGGAAAAGAGAAGAGGGCCTAGAATTGAGCCTTGCAGGATGCCACAGGAGAGGTGTGCCATAGTGGCACAGTCACCACAGTTGACACCGAATGTCTTACTTTTCAAGTAGGATTAAAACCATTTTAGGGCTATGGCTGTAATGCCCACCCATCGCTCTAAACGACAGACCAGAATTTCATGGTCCACAATGTCAAAGGCAGCTGTTTAATCCAGAAGCACAAGGACCGCACAGTCACTAGCGTCTGTTGCTAAAAATATATTGTTAAAAACTTTTACGAGAGCAGTTTCAAGACAAGTGTGAAGTCACTGTGTGTATGAATTAAGTGTGACTTAAGTCCGAGTCTCAAACTTGAGTCCCCATCTCTGATGTCCACTGAAGGAAACTTCCTGGTGAACTAAAAAGACACAAGTCATGTTGTGTCGTGATTTAAGCCAAAGTGATTTTTCTCAACCTGGCAACCCAAAGGTCGCTTGTATTAACTTGTTATATGAACATATGTCTGTCTATACATTTATTGACCATAACTAAAGCCACAATTTCTAATTAATGAATGTTTTTATAAATGGATTTCAGACAGTGGTACCAAACAATCTAAGAATCTACTACCACACTAGCGGCTCTAAGAGGCTGTAATTAGGCACATTGGTGTTTTGAGCTTTTTTAGCATAGTTTGCCATCTTAATCAAACTTGCTAGCATGCTAACATTTGCTAATTAGCACTAAAAGTCCAGCTGAGGCTGATGGGAATGTTATTAGTTTTGCAGGTATTTTGTTATAAATCGTGATATAGTTTTAAAAATTATTTATTAAATTATTATAAGTTATTACCATTCTTCTCGATCTTTCATAGCAATCCATTCTACACATGTTGAGATATTTTACTAAAAACAACAACTGTCACCGTCATGTTGGTACTAGAAGTCAAAGGACAACAAAAGTCAGTGGGATTCATCCACTGTTGAGAGGGGATCATCAATGTCTGCATGACAATCCATCAATTAGCTGTTGAAATATTTCAGTCTTGACCAAAGTGGTGGACCCACTAACAGATTGTCATTACCATCCCTAGAGTCATGCTGCTAGCAGGCTAAAAACCTCATAATTTGTGTTTGTTCAAGTTTTGTTAATTATAAATATATTCACACGAATGTTGATTTCCATTTTTGTATTTCTGTGTTCTATCTGTAGGATATACACAGCATGATTAAATGGCAATTTCTTTTGTCCTTTTTCAGGACTCTTCTCTTCTAGTGCACTCATCGGAAAATGTCTCCCTTAATGCCCGCAATGTAAATGGTGATGTCACAGGGAGGATATCTGTGGGTAAGAGCCTGAAAGAGGACACATGTGCACACAGAGAGACACATACAGCACTCATGCATAACAAAGTATCCCATTGATGTATGAGGGCAATAGTAAAGTCATTCATGCGCTTATCCTGCAGCTATTTCTCATCCAACATTAACAGTGACAAGAAGCCATCTTTCCATGTATAATCTCTTAGATTTCCATTTAAAATACATTAAATGCAACACTCCTCTCTCTATCTTGGCTTCTGGATCTTTCTATATTACACAGAGGGCCCAAGCCCTGTGGAGGATCATATTTGTGCGTCTTTTATGGTTCACCAATGGCTGCGTTTGGGTATTTTGTCATAATTAAAAGGCCAACAAATGACCCAACTAATTGCCGTGCTCCACAGTACTGTTATGTGTCCTTGATCGTTAAGCCATAACAAAGCATGGCCTGCATCCTCTCGGCCCTCTGTGAATAAAAGTATAATGCTCGTTAGAGAAGATTACATGCTGGTTCACAGTTGTAGGTGCTGAAGTGGGTTAAATATCTCACTGACCACTGATTTGCCTCACACAGCGGTGTGAACACTGATGTAGTAAAGGGTCCAGTGAAACAACCTTACGATACCTTTCAGTTTGAGAAATGATAGGCTCTTATTTTCCTCCTTCTCTAAGCACTGCTGATTTGAAGAGTTTATCAGGAAAACACAGTTTGATTTTGATGATTGTCATATTTTCATGTAATATTGCCAAACCCCTACAGGTATTCTTGCTGTTGTTGTTTTTGTCGTTGCAGGTCCAAAAGAAGCTCAGGGACATGCTCGAAATCTGCTCATTAACTCCCACAATGACAACATGCTGTTCACTGCAGATGGCGACCAGGCTGTGATTGGACCCGACAAACTACGAGTCACAGGTATACCAACGTCTGCCACCTGCTGTTTCCTTGGAAATACTGCACACCTCTTGGCAAAAATGTTTTTCATATTTGGAAAAACACAATATTGACAACAGATGTGAACTCAACAGGAGCAATTTGGTTTGATGGCAGATATCTGTGTAACAATCCGGCAACCAAGGACAAAGACAGACGCAGTCAGTTTCATAATCATTCATGTCATGGATATCTCTAAAGTACACCTACTTGTCAAGAGCTCTGATATCTAAACCTGAGCGTGCATTAATGCCATGTAGGTGAGATACTTCGCATTAATAGAAAATTGTAATCTAGTATTTTTATCTTTAGTTTTGATTTTACAAAATAAATATCTCACCTCAGTATCACATTATCAGTATCTCATGCTACACAAAAAGGGTTAAAGGGTAAAATATTACATTATCAGGCTGAACGACCTCTTTTCTGTCCTGCTTCACCTCACTGTCTCTATGTCCAGTGTGTGTATTGATTGCAGTGTGGGTCACTGACCACACACTGGGATGGCTGATTAATGTTGAAGGGAGTGTCAGCTGATAGCTTCATTATGCCTGGGGTCATCCACAGAGAGAAGGGCGCAGCAGCAGAGGAGCTGTTTGGTAAAATCCCTGAAACAAAAAAGCTTCTGTACTCACTGTGAGTCGAGTGGTTACTGTACATCCACCACAGTTGGATCCATATTTCTGCATAGGATGTTGGGGGTTTTGGAACCAATTTCCAGTGTGTGTCTCCCATAATCTGTTATCTAGTATTGACTGCTTTACATAAGTCAAAGTGAGCAGACAGTCTACTTTCTTTTGAAAAACACATTGAAGCAACATTTTGCAACATGACAGTCTACAGCCATGATAGCAACTCTGTGAGACTGTAGTTAGGCACAGCAGCGCTTTGTGCTAAATACTAATGTCAGAATATTAACATGTTCACAATGATGATGCTGATGCTAAGCAGGTATAATGTTTAACATCTTAGTTTAGCATGTTAGCATAATAACGTTTTCTAATTAGCACAAATGCTAGAAGCTCTAAGTAAAATCAGGGGGTCAGTATTCATCCTCTGGGGACCACGATTGTCTCCTAAGCCTGATCTATGTACAAGCTTTTGAGATATTTCATTCTGGTGAACATGAAAGTAAACTGAATGTCCGTGGGCAAGTCATTTAACGTTACCTGACCACAAAAATCGTGGTGGGAACAGCTGGAATAGTGTTGTGTGGCGGGGTCCAGGCCACTTTGGTTCCCATTTACAGAGCCAGGGCTGTGTACAAACAATGTTTTTTTTCAGAGCACACACAAAACGAACTTCTACGGAGCGTGAGGAGATATTCACTGAATTTGACAAAAACACGTGTATTGGATTAGAATCCCTTACCCCACCTTTAAATGTGCACAAATGTGGCAGTTTCTAATAGCTAATTAGATGCTTGTTTTAAGTAGTTGTTAATATTTTGTAGCCCATATTTTAGTTTATTTTGACTGCTATAACAGATGATGATTTGGAAATTACAGAAACCCTGTATTTCAGTGGCGAGCCGAACAGGTTGTCGATTAAGAGTGTTGTATTAAAGCTGTAGGCCACCACGTGAAAAATATGTTTTGTACTGTGCAGGGTGTTTCAGGGGAAAAAAAGTGTACAAAACCTAGATGACAAAAAAAAAGACTGCTGTATTAAAAATGTTACACTCACGGTTATAGTATCAATCTCTCAGACTGACGTGTATTCTGTGACACATATGAATGTGGGCGTCTCTTTCTCCATCAGGTCCTGAAGGAGCACTGTTCCAGCACTCAGTGGAGGTGCCCCTGCTGAGATCTGAACTTTTCAAAGACCTGAGGTAAGCATTTCAGCCATTGTATGGGTCACATTATTGGATAACACATTGAGTCCAACAAGTCTTGAGGAAGTATCAGGAAGATATTCAGAACATTTGATTGGGCCATGGCCTTGGAGTAAACAAATTTGCATGACATTCATTAAAAAATACCTCTAATTTCCCCTGTTATGTAAAATAAAACTAAAGAGGATCAGATTTTTCGATTAAACAGATTTGTGTTGTGTTTAATAAAAATGTTTTGCTTTAGGTTGGAGTCTCCTACTCGCTCTCTCAGTATGGATGCGCCAAAAGGAGTTCATATCAAAGCGCTGGCTGGCAACATTGAAGTTGCTTCCAACATGGATGTTATTCTGAAATCTGGTATAGGACTGGTAAGAAAAAAACATTTTCCACTACCTCAAGTCTGCTAAACATCATCTTCAGGTCTGTTTTTTCTTTTGATTACCAAGGGGATATACACAGTATGTTTTTTAGCAACATGCTGCTTCACACTTCTGTAATTTCTCACAGTCGCACCTGGGAGATTTTCATCCAGAGGAGCCTCACTCAAGTGAAGTTTGACAGTAGCTCTGCTTTTTCCATTTATTGGACGTTTTGGTACAAAATGCTTTACAGAGTGCCTTGAGAGAGCTCAACTTTAGTTCTACATTACTACCTTTATTTAGTTGTAAGAAAAAAGTAATGTATATCTATATATTGTGGTTGTAAAGGTAAGGTACCCAGAGTGAGAATTATACTATACATTTATATCTTGGGATACCAGCAGAGTTAACCAAATCTGAACATTTTTATAAAGCCAAATAGGAGCACTGAGATCTGTAAACTATAATGAGTTCATTGCCTTTTGAACTTCAAAAACATTTGTTTGGACTCTGTAGGTCTGTTGTGGTGTAGTGGTTAGCAGTTTCCATGTTACTGTTTCGAGTGAGTTTTGGTGATTGATTCTGGCTGAATCAGGGCTGTGTAATTCTTGTGGTGCAGCTAACTGGCTGAACTAGATCAAGCATTTCTATCACCAGTACTTATTTTACCTTTTTGAATTAATTCTCAGTGCATTTATATGACAACTTAGTTACAGGCCATAAAACACTTCCATCCATCTTTTTTTTGTAATGGGGAAGGAAACTGAACTTGTCCTGGATAATTGTGAACTTTATTTGAATGTTCACTTCCTGTGGTTTTCAGTGTTTTTTTGCCACAGGAATATTTACTTTGTATCACATCTATTTATATCTTCCTTATGGATCAGTGCACTCGTTAGACACTCACTGGACATCCATCTATCTGTCACCACACCGTGTGCCATAATGTGTGTGTGTATGCACTCGCCTTAAGTGGAAACTAAGACTGAAGCAGAGTGATATTTCTTTGTTGATTCATTGCAACTCTGTTGTTCTCCTTTATATTGTCCTTGCTCTCCTCGCTGTCTGCTGTGCAGTTGGTGCTGGATGCTGAGACAGTGCGCATGCCAAGCCTGCCCCTGAGCAAGGAAGGTGTTTCTGGGTATGCTCAGGGTCTCTATGAGGTCTGTGTCTGTCCCAGCGGCAAACTCTTCCTGTCCAAGGCTGGGGTCACCTCCACTTGCAGCGAGAATCAGGAGTGCTAGAAAGACTGACAAGGTAATCGATTTTCCATCTCTCGGTAGATGCATCTTCTGGGAGGCACCTAGCACAACTGTTTATATCTGGCTAGTTTTTTGTATCTTTATACAACAGTAGATCTATGATGACCTTAGTGCTAACATCCCACAGGCACATCAAGGCCTGTAAAAATACAAATGCCTGCTGGCGTACATGTTGGAGATGTCATGAAATGCATCCTTTTAGTTGCATTTATGACCTTCTAACCATTCAGCTAAAACAAATTGGCACTCAGTTTCAAATATATCTGCATCAGAGCTTTGTGGAGAAATTTTACACACACAGTATTGTGGCTGGGCAATGAGGAGCTGGCAACAGCTTACATCCTATGCAATATTATCTTGTGGTGCAATAAATAAAATTGACACATACCAAGGGCTTGGAATAATCAAAAATAAATATCTCAAAAGCTGACAGAATGTAAATGGAAATATTTATTTAGGTTTACCCTTAAGCCCTTCTGGCTCCAAGCCCTTGGTATGTAGGTTTTTGTCTTGGTGTTTAGCATGGGGGGGAGGGGATTTGAGAAATGTTGGTATATATTTTTACATTGTCTTGGTCACTTCAGAGATCTTTTTTTTCTTTCTTTTTTTTAACTCAAACCCAGATACAACACTAGACAACAGCCTTGTTTCTTATTTTGTTTACTGCTTTATAGGGTTGAGCTTAAAATACCATGTCCTTATAGTACCATAAAGTGTTAGTGTATCACATGTCTGTTTTTTCAATTTATAAGATTATGTTTGGCCTGTGTTATTTTAAGCCCTGCATTCGCATGTAATTATGCATTAGATATTAGACAGACATTTTTTCTTGCACGCAAGCTGGTCTGTTTGTTCAAAAACCTCATTTACAGCCAAGTCTATGACTAACAAAACATTACCTTTGACCACAGCAACAGACAAGCAAAAACCAAACAGGTCTAATAAAGGTAGTGTAGCTGTGGGTAGTTTGATTGGAAAAATAGTGGGATTCAGTTTTGCTTTTTCCTTTTGGGTCAAATATGCCTTGATTTTTTGTTTTCTTTTTACACAATATGCATGACAGGTATTTGACAAGATTTGCCTCTGTTGTAAGAATTAAGGTTCTCAGTTCACTATGACAAAACAGGCTATTTTTAAAAAAATTGTGTGGTTACATTGAGCATTAGCATCAATTTATCTGCAAGACTGTTTTTAGCATAATTAACATCATATTGTGTTTTGTTATTATTGTCTGTCTTAATAAATAGTTAATTTGCAGTTCTCAACTACGTTCTGGCATATTTTGATAGTGTGTAATATGTATTTATTAACTTTGTATGTTGAATAAACTTTGTGGTATTCTTCTATGATGTCTGTCAAAGCTATTCATTCTTATATATTTGTTTTTCTGAAGACTGGTCTTACGTTTTTTTTTCTAATCAAATATTATGGACACAAAAGCCCCAGGGGACTGGCAGTATTTCCACTCTTTATTGTGTTTAGCTGTGCACAAAAGCTGTAATGTAGAGATGGATACAGTTTAAATTTCCTAACCAGATTTAATGGCTCTGTGATGCACTCTAGTGGAAATGCTGCAGTACCACCATGATGCACAAAACAGATGTTCTGACCATCAACACAAATTAATCGTTACACCACCAAGCCAACGGAGCAAACTTTCTGATGTTATTCAGTAAGTCCCAATGGTTTGTGCCAGTATCAGATCTTACTATTCTGATATTCCGATATGATTTTTATTTTTACATGTCTTAATTTACTTCCCACAAGTGAACTTTGTACATTATGACTGAGTTAATATTTCTCCACTTGAAGAACAAATAGGTTTTTAAAATCATCACATTAGCTTTTCTTGTAGAAACAAAAATGGACACAATTTATTTAAGGGGACTTTATTAGGCCTTCCTATGGCACAGTGTACATCAACATGTATGATACACGAGGTTCTCCATGGTTTAGTTATGGACACCGTCGACAGAGTCACCTCAAGCTGGATGTGTAATAAGACAACCGATACCAAGAAGCACATTTTAAAATAACATTTACAATATGTGGTCAGTGGATGTATAGTCCTTTAATTTAATTTAATTAACAAAAGAAAGCCAATAATACAATAAAAACACACAAGCACCACAGTTTGGTTCTATTCTATGTTCCTTAAACCAGAAAAGTTCAAATTACCAAAAACATGACCATGTTGGCAAAAGTTAACATGTTGAGGATTGTGCCCAAAATATAGCGCATATATATATATATATATATATGGCTCTTTATTGCATCATTCACCTACTGAGTATTTCCAAACAGGCCCTCACTGTAAAAAGAAAAACTTTTGGATGACTTGCTTAAGCAAAAGCGGAGCTACATTCACTTTGCAGACTCTGTAGGGCCTCCAAGTACACATGGTTCATATGAACAGGTAATGATGCAATATATAGAGCTCAGCAAACATAGCTAACAAAACAAAACCCCAATGAAAATAACAGACTTTTCCATTCACAGTTGGATTCTCCCAAGTTGCTGGGATGACACGCATTCTGCAAGTGCAAGTGTGAGTACATGAGGGGGATTTTCAAAAAAGTGCCTTGTCCATTAACAAGTGACTGGCTATGTTACAGAAAATGTACAACTTTTACAGAAATTATATGAAATGAAACATAAAAATACAAAAAAGAATGTTTACAAACATGATTATAATTTCCTTGACTTGCTGAGATCTTGCAAATAGGACACGTTGCATGACAGTAATTGCAGTATTTGCCATTCAGAGATTATCTACATCTTCATTACTAGCGCATCCTTTCAGTACACTCAAATGGTTTTCTGTAGCAAGAAAATATATATTTATATATATATTTTTTTATAAAAGATAAAGTAAAAAAGCAGCATATTTTTTAATCTAACTCAGAGCAAATTTATTCAATGTGGGGACTTTGGTAAACAAAATGTATTGCTTATGCATTTGTATATACAGCATATGCAGAATTGTTTTTATAATACAGCAAATCACATGAGACAGCCTAATAGGTTATGGGAGCCATACCTTTATTTACTGTGCACGGGCCACACATCACAGGTAGAAACTGCATATGTACCATAAGCTGCCATGTGCATACTTCAATTTTATTAAAAGTGATATACATGATCTCTATCTGCCACAGGTGTCCTCTATTCCACAGAGGATCTCTACATACTGTAGTTTCAATGTCATCTTTGACAACAGTATTATATTTTTTGCTGCACAAAGGTTTCAAGCTTTATGATAATCCGTGCGGTACATTCCATCACTCTCATTGCCACCTCAGATGTGTATCTGTCGTTGGGAATCTGTGGAAATGGCAGGAGATCAGGATAGCGAGTTCTCAGGCTGTCCACACCATATCCTTCCAGGATCTGAACATCATTTGCAAGGCCTGTTAACTGGGAGTTGTACTCCTCAACTTTTTGAGCCAGAGCAGTTGGTTTCACATCTTTGTCTGACTTTCCTCTGACTGCATAGTCGGCGGCTATCAGTGCAAGCTTTGTGGCCAGGTAGCATTTGAAACAAACCCACTCATTGGCATTTTTATGGAGATCATTCCGAGCAGCAGAGTAGTTTGCTCTTGCTTGTCTAAGCCACCTGCGGGCTTCTACAGGGTTTCCAACTGTCTTGAAAGTAGGGGGCACAAAGAAACGATGAGAGTGTGATGAACCTGCATAGCTTGCATAATGTTCCCTGAACTGTTGCCTCTCTGACTTGTGATTTGTTGCTTCTTGGTTCCACGATGAATAAAACCTTTGAAATGAGAACTTCTCTGACTGGAAGCGGGATGATGATGTGGAGTAGGATCTCCTGGAAGCTCTGTCTGTATTTTGCTGATCAGCCAAAGACTGTTTCTCCATCCTGCTGATCTCGTTCTGCAAGTGCTTGAAGACTTCTGTGGCAATGTCCAGATTCTCTGCATTTTTGTCTGGATGCCACTTGAGATACAATCGGCGTATTATCTTCTTTCTCTCTGTCTCAGAAAGCTTCCAAGCTTGTTCAACTACTAAGGTCACTTCTTTCAGAATCTCAGGCAATGCATGAAGCTTGATCTTTTTCGGAGACTGTTTTTGAGGGGGGGGTCTGAGGTTTTCCTTACCAGCAAAAAGAGGAGGGATCATTCGTAGACCAGAGGAACGACTGTTTGGGCTTGTAGGAGTTGATGGGGCACTGGTGTCTCGCACATGGGTACTTTCATCTTGTCTTGAGAATTTGTATAAGTCGAGGGAACTGACTATTTTGTACTCACTGTAACCAATGTCAATCTGGAAGCACTTTCCAAGAAAACTCCTGTTTTCCTCCTCTTCTCTTTCTACTTCTTGAACAATGATGGCATATGTATAAGTAGGCTGGTAGGACCCATACATGTCTCCACCCTCAGAGTCTACAAGGTAACCCACATACTCTCCTGGATAAAATACATTCATGGGATCCATGAGGAGTGTGTGATGTATCTCAGCTGGTATGGGTGTTCCAGGGAGGGGAAGCTCAAGTTTTGATGGCTCTGTTGAGTCATACTTGACCCCCAGGTTGTCCAGCTTCTCTGTGATTCTGTAGATGTCATTACAGCCCAGCATGGCAATCAAATAGGATGTGTCAGAAATCAAATTGTCTGTAGCAGACTTCAATGTCATTGCCAGTGCTAAGAGAAAATTAATGTCTTTGCTGTCTGAATGTTGGATGTAGAGGTGAATCACAGCTGTCCCATACCTCTTGAGAAAGGCAAGTGTTTCGCTGCGGCTGTGTGGGATGGGACTACATCCTTTCACTCTTAATGTTGTCTGTAGTTTCTCAAAACAAGAAACTTTCAGTCCTTCACAAAGTGCTTTGCAAAGCCGTATGGCTTTTTCCTCATTCACAAGGTATGCATTGTCATTCTCATGTTTCATTATTCTTATCAGTCCTGTAATGAACTGCTCTGATGACAGCAACAGCTGAAGGCGACCTTGAAGTGAGCAAAGTGCTCCAAATTGGCACATTTTTGGAGAATCCTCATCAAGTTGCTCTTCAAGAATGCTGCTCAACAGTCTAGGCCTTAGTTTCTGTGGAAGCAGCATGATCAGCTTTGTGTGAAAGGCATGATCTTTGCCTAGATAGCACTGGCTCATGTCCACAAGCATCTGAACTCCAACATTACCCTGAATTCTGCTCTTGAAGTGTGGGGCATCATCAAAGACCAAACTACTGGATTTTGCTAATCTACCATCATGACTTGGCAGATAAAATGTCAAATCTCTGAGACTCTCAAGATCTTTGCGAATTTCCACTGGATCATTGTGGAGAGACTTGAACAATCCTGAAACAACCCTTTTTACTGTTCTCATTTCATTAGGATCAAGCTGCTTGCCCTCTGAACTTCTGTAAATTCGCCACAGCACTTCAACATACTGTTTGGTTGACACAACGTCTTCTGTGCCAAGAAGTTTGAACAGTTGATGAAAGGTACCAAGTTCTAGAGGTAATTTGTACAAGTAGGGTTTGAAGTCAGATTCATTGTCCAAATTAATGACAACCTCTTCAGGTTTCAGCAATTTCCAGCCATCTTCAACCATGACAAAAGCAACCCCACGGAGCTGGTAACGGAAATCTCTTTTATCTGCATTGAGGAACTCATAGGTGGACCTTAAAACTTTGTTTCTGGTTTTCACCATTTCATCATCTGGACTAGATATGTTGCAGATGTTCTTGCAGTTGTTTATGACTTTCTCTAAAGGTGGGTCCAAGTTGACACCTAACATGTCCAACACTTGGTCAAGTTGTTCCTGTCCAGTGAGAGTGCTCCCCTCCTGGTCCTTTATGCTTGATGGTGTAGCTTTCTCAGGTAGAATTGGGCAAGATGTCCAAAGCAAGTGAATGATATCTGTTTGCTTGAATTTTGGATTTACCTGAGACCCACTGAAGCGAATCAGAGGAAGTGTGCCACTCATGTCTTGGTACTGCGAATGAAGCTTGACGAGTTCTTTGGGGGCTCTCTCAGGACACAAGAATGGTATCATGGAGAGCTCTTTTAGAAAAGTACCCTGGAACAGGTCCGTCCTCTCTTTGAAAATGTGGTTCATGAGAACATCAACAATGGTTTGCACTTTCTCTTTGGTCCAGTTCTCTGTTTGGGCTTTGATGCTGACCTCTTTTGCAAACTGAAGAACTTGCTGCTGTGACACTTCATGCTTGAGACCAATATTTCTCAGAAAGGTTATCCATGAGGTGAGCAACAATGTCCCATTCTTGGGTTTTGACACTTGCTCAACTTTCTTAAAAAAGTCACTTGGTATGAATGACTTTGCAGGTAGCATAACTTCAAACACCTTCACTGTCTCATCATAGAAA